ATAAACATTAATGAGTTCATACTTAACATCTGTTGAATAATAATATTTTTCTTATGATCGATTGGTAAAGAATTCAGTTTATTGCAGCATGGAGATGGCTAATACAGCCAATAATATTCATATGATTGTAAGAAAAAGGTTTTATGGTGCACTTAACACCACAGTGATAGCTATCAAAGGATAAATCATTTTTTAATTTCAAAATAAACTTTGGAACACCCAAGTTGTCCAATATACCAGCAGATTGAAGATGTATTATTGAGTAGGAAAAAGATATAGTTTTAGACATTATTTTATTACACAAATCTTCGAAAGAAGAAATATTATCAGCTTTCACAAAAGCCTCCATTTCATCAGGCAAAGGCACTTTTTAAAGATGGCAATGATTTAGTAGTTGGTCTTGGTGGTGCAAGTGGAGTCGGAATTTGACTTGGATTTACACAAGAAAATACAGATGGTGGATGTTTTGGTCTTAACTTACCGTAAACTAAAACTTTTTCATAGTCTTTAGGCCAATTATCTTCACAAATAAAAGTATTTGGGTTATCTGGAATATTATCTCGAGGTATAGCACTTATCCATCTTTTTCGTTCATTTTTTTTATTTGGAAGGCAAAAAACTTTTACAGACTTTGTAACATCGTAGTTACCTCTGCACCCAGTGACACAACACTTAAAAACCATATTCTTCAAATTTAATTATTTAGCTCTAAAAAGAAAGCAAATTTAATATATATAAAATTAAAACGTATTGCATATTAAATTAAAAGCCACATTATTTTTTTAAAACGTGCCATTTTACTGAAAGTTTATAAAATTAAAAGTCGCCTACAGTTTTTTTTCTAGCCGTATGTTTACTAGGCCTGCCAATACAGTAGGCCATGAATCTAACACTTTCTGTTTCCTCAGACACTGAACCCTAATATATCTGATTGCATATACTCTTAGTGCCTTTGATTGTTGAGTGGCTCCTACTGAAACTCATTAATTATCTTGGTTCCGTACATGGTTTTTAACATCATCTTTTTTTCTTAATATACAGTTGTTGCAATATAAGTGCCCTAATTGGGTGCTCTAATTTTTTGTGTAAATATTTTTTGACAAATCTTTAAAAAACCTGTTTAATTTAAAATATTGAAAAAAAACTTTTTTTAAAAGACATGTTTTTTTTTCTATCAAATGAATAATCACCTAGATTATTTATTAGATAGAAAATGTGATAGATTGCATTTTAGGTGACTGTTGACTATCTGTTATTTTTATGATGTACCCTAGATTTTGCCATGCTTTGTTGGTTTTTAACATAAAGTTATTTCCCATTAATTTTTATTTTTTTATTAAGGCAAAATACTTTAAGAGTCTTCTGCTTTACATCTCTATCTTTTACTACTGTCTTCCTGAAAATATTCATTGAAATAATCTGCTAAGTTGTTCTCTATTGTTCATTTTTATTCTCTTAGTTCTATTCTCTACATAAAAAATCTGTTTTTTCTTGTAGAAAATACTGTTTTTATATCAGTTATGCATCTTCTAATAATGTCCCTCTTTTTTTAGGCAAGGGACTCCTAGTTTTTTGATATGCTTTTAAGTTCTTTATTTATCTGTTTTATTTGTTTATCACTCTTGATTTATTGCGTTTGTTCTGACATAGTTTGCAGCTTTTATAATTGTTTTTATTGTAAGCTTTCTGTTAGCCCTTTTCATGCTCTTTAACTGTCTTATGTTTCTAGTAATCTATAATGTAAATATTTTCCTAGTTAACTCTAATGTAGTTTTTAGTAATTAGTATTATTAGCTGATTCGTATGTTTAATTGTTATAGAAAAATTCCAATAATTGGCAAGCATGTAAAAAAAATTATTTTTGGTTGTTGGAATGCTGAGGTTTGTAATTGTTTTTTTTGCCTCTTGCTATCCAGTTTATCAAAGATTCCATAGAAACCTTTTATGTTTAGAATATGCTTGCTCTTGGAAGTGAAGATAAAGTCATTACAATTAGCAACAGTGATGGTGATACTATAAAACAGGTTGGTTTTTTATCTTTTAACTTGTATTTTATTTGGTATTACATAATTTATGAGTATCACATTATTTATGAATGAATATTTTTTTATTCAAATGCAAAGAAATATAATCTTATAAGTTTATTTATTTTTATTAACTATAATCATCAATAGATTAAGTTAATTTTTTATTAGTTTATATTTATTATTTTAAGTAACATGTTTATATTTATTTAATACTGAAATTATCATTATAAGTTACAAATTATTATCATAGGTTATAGAAGTAATAAAAAATTGTTATATAGCATGAAAAAAAAAATAGATAAATAAACCTTAACATTTTAACAACTGTATATTTATTTTTTGACATGCCAGTTTTGCTGAATATATATTTTTCCACTTACCAGTTTTAGGAATTTAAAGATATATATATATATATATACATATATATATATATATATATATATATATATATATATATATATATATATATATATATATATATATATATATATATATATATATATATATAAAACTTTAGTAGCTCCTTGACTTTAGTGTTACCATTGTCTTGGGGGAAGTAAATAAAAATTAAAAAAAAAAGTAAAATAAAACAATTTTTATAATATTTATAAGTGAAATAATTATTTTACAGATAGTTGAATATCTTCAGTGATAAAATTAAATTAGTTGTTTTATTTTATGATTTAAATTAGTTGTTTTATATTATGATTTACATTATAAACAGAAAAAAGGCGCCTTAATTTAAGGTTTTTATTAAAAACTATATTTTAAAATTTATTAAAGCAAGATAATCTAAAGAAAAATATTCTTGCTTAAACACATGTAAAATGATTGCATCATCAAGACTTTTAAGTCCTATTAATTCAAAAACAAGGACAATATGTTTTATAACATGCAATTTGCTTTAAAAAAAATTATTTAAATGATCACTCTTTGACCAAGCAAGTAACTTATGTAAACAATGCCTTTATTAATAATTGTTTAACATAAGGAGTTTTTATTTAAAATGTTTAATGGCTATGGCACAGTCAATCATTCTTGTTAAAAAAAACCTAAATATTATGGAATAAAAAAAACTTACTTTGGTTTAATAGATATTTATCAAACAGAAAACAGTACTTACATTATGAAATAGTTTATAGGTTAAAAGTATAATAACATGGTTAGTACTTCAAGACTTGATTTTAGAACCTTCATTAATTTCTTTTGAAATAATTTTTTTCTCTAAACGATTTATCTTTTACCCCAACTCTTATTAAAGTTCAGAGGAATTTTTATCATTAAGGTTTCATATAAGCACTCTCCAAAGAAAACTATGTATGGGCAAACACTTATCACATTAAGGTTAAAAAAAAAAATTGTTCTTAACAAGAACATGTTTGCTGACTTGTATTTCGGGAAACAAAAACGTGCTTGCAGAATTGTATTTAAAGTAACAAGAACTGTGACTTTTATGTAAAGCTTTTTACTGGTTTGCTTTAAGATCGCGATTTGTAAAAAAATAAAAACTTTTTTTTGTTGATCTTATTGATCTTAAATCATAATCTTATTGTTAATTGATGATGCGATAGTTTTTTAGCTGAATAGAATAGTTGTGATCCTTAAAATATATTTTGGTTTGCCAAAAGGTTTGTAGTTTACAGTTTGCTTTTTATCTAATATACAAAAAAAAAAGTCTTCAGCAATTCAACACTATATTAAGATATTATTTAATACTTAGGGATTTTAATATAATATACTTTGCTTGTTTGTTTTTAAAGTTATCGTACTAAATTAGCACCCTACATTGTAACATTAATCTAGACTGATAAATAATAGTTAAAATTTTTATATATTTTTTTGTTAAATTACTTTTATCAATTATAACTGATAAAAAAATATTGTTTGCCCTATAATGAAAACCTCATAAATCATAGATCAAAAATATGTTCTTTTTATAATTTTTATAATCTTATCTTTTTGCAAGAAAATTTGAAGAGAATAAATTATTTTTTCATAAATAGACTACAACTAGATTAAATGCAGAAATTCCACAGTTCTCTTTCATGAAAACCAACGAGCGAAGTTCTGGAGAGACAACTGTAAGAACTGTATTATAACATTTTTTTCTTTTATTCAATATTTGATAAAGTTTATTTTTATTTTTATTTATACAATTTTCTTTCAGCTAAGTTTAACAATAGGTCATCGTTCATTACTTCTTCTCAATCTTGCTGATCTAGACAATCCAATTGAATTGGCGTTCCAAGTAATAAAATAAATTTATTTATACAAAAGAAAACTAAAGTAATAAATTTTGTTACTAATAGTTTAAATCTAAATCTTGAAATAAAAATTTTGTTTATAATATTATGAATATTTTTATGACATAATAGTCTCGCTATGGCAATATTGTTAAATACAGATGGTTTGGTGACGGTTATATTATGCTTGGATTTTCCACTGGATATTTAGTTGTTGTTTCAACACATCCTAAAGAGATAGGTCAGGTATAGGTATTTTTTGAAAGCATTTATTAATGTATAATTTTTTTGTTTTGTAGAACATTGTTCTAGAATAAAATGTTTGTAAAAAAATTTATGTTAAATTTTTTGGATGAAAATTGTTTTAGAATAGAATGCTCAATCTGGAATCAGAGTGTATGGCTCGCAAATAAATTTAAACATAAGAATGTTTAACTTGGGAATAGAATGCTTGATTTGAATTAAATTTTAACTTCGGAATAAAATGGCTAACTAAAACAAAAATAGTTTCAACATTCTATTTCAAGCTTGAAATAGAATGTTCAAACTGGGAATAGAAGATACAATAAGTTGATAAATATGATTTGTAATTTTTATTTGTGTTCATGTTTTCATTCAATTTAGAATTAAGTTACACGATTTTTTTATATCTTTTGTCAACTGTTTTTTTTGCTCTTTAACTCTCTGCAGTCTTATTGAAAATGAACTAATTTTAAAAAAAAGCTATTTATTTGGTCTTTAACTCTTTTGCAACCTTGTTGAAAAGTTACTCTGTAACAGCATATTTAATCATGCCTTTTTGTGTTGTTAAAGCTAACTTTAGTATGACCTTGAACTTTTTGTGTTGTTAAAGCTAACTTTAGTATGACCTTGAACTTTTTGTGTTGTTAAAGCTAACTTTAGTATGACCTTGAACTTTTTGTGTTGTTAAAGCTAACTTTAGTATGACCTTGAACTTTTTGTGTTGTTAAAGCTAACTTTAGTATGACCTTGAACTTTTTGTGTTGTTAAAACTAACTTTAGTATGACCTTGAACTTTTTGTGTTGTTAAAGCTAACTTTAGTATGACCTTGAACTTTTTGTGTTGTTAAAGCTAACTTTAGTATGACCTTGAACTTTTCACTGACAATTTTGATACTGGTTTCTAGTTGGTTAAAATCAGCAATCCATTCATCCATCTAGAATTCTCATTTAAGAATGCCATAAAATCCTCAATAGGATCAGCTTTTGGTACATTTAATAGATTTATGTATTTTGGTACTAGTGTTATCTTTTTTGCTAGTAGCCAATGATTTAGGATAGCATGGATCATATTTCCATGACAATTTTTTTGACTGTCTTAATTGATATTTAATTTCAAAATTGTTTTCATGACTTTAAATATTTTTCATTTTTTTATGGCCTAGTTTTTATGCTTTTTACATCATTTTAATTTTTTTTAAGCTAAGGACATTGTTTATTGTAAGGACATTATTTATTATATTAATAAATTATAAATGAATTACAAATAAAAGTTTGGATCCAAATTAATCTAAAAATTTTTAAGGTATTGAAATAAATGAAATGTAATATGATAACCAAAAATATACAAGGACAACAAAAACTGGCTAAATATTATTGAGCTTTTTTTTAATTTTTGTAACAACTCTAAGAAAAACATTTGGAAAATTATTTCTTTTTACTCCATAAAAAATCAGTAGATTTTTTTTGTAATCTTTTAATTTATAAAGATTTTTATTTTCTTTGACTTTTTGTTTTAGGAACTCTTTCAAACACAAGATCACAAAGAAGAACTAAACGATATAGCAATATCACTATCTCTAAAGAAAGCTGCATCTTGTGGTGATAACGTGTAAGATATTGGTTACTTTTTCAAGTGCAAACCTTTGTTATCACTTTAATTATCAAGCTCTTTTTTTTCAAGTTTGTTTATATCATTATAAAGTTCATTATAAAATAATGTAATTCTTATTGTAAATAAGTTGTTAGCTGTCAAAAGATTTTGTTATATAAATTTTTTTTAAAAACATTTAATTTTCAAAAAAAATAATCTTTTAAATGCTCTTTTTATTACATTCATTCTATAAGTTTATATTTATTACTATTTCTTTTAATAATTTTATCTTTAGAGTTAAAATCCATGAATTAAATGACTTGAAGGAGATTTTTGCAATAATTACTGTAGAAGATGCAGGAGGTAAATAATTACTGTATGAGTGAGAGCACAGAGAATAAATACTTGCTGTAGAGGATGTAGGAAAAAATTGATTAAATTTTGCTGTTTTGAATTTTAGGTGTAATTTATAATGTTAAAAAAAAGTAAAGGTTTTAATTGTTTTTAAACAAACAAAAAAAAATTAACTTTTTATAAATTTGAATTCTTTAAATAACTTTTTTTGGTTAAATGAAAGGTAGTCTTGACAAAGTAGAATGGACTGAAGATGGTCAACTGCTTGCAGTCAGTACCCAGAAAGGTTTTTTTTTAGTTTATTTATTTTTGGAAAACACTCAAGTTTAAGATAATAGGAAAGATATTTTATAAATCTACTAACCATTTGTTAATTTAAAAAAATGTCAATTATATATAGGAGCAATACATGTGTATTTGACAATGTTACCAATTCTTGCTGATACATACAACACACGAATTGCTTACTTAACATCTTTGAGAGAGGTGAATAATTAGATATTTAAAAAAAACAAAAACTTGAAGTGTAATCCATTATTTTATACCCATTTAATTTTTTTACAGATAACAGTAGTTGATGAAATAAACAAGGTTTGTCAATTTATTTGTAAATGACAATAGTTGATGTAATAAATAGTTTTTTGTTATTATTAATATTTAGCAAAATCACCTTTCACAGCAAAATCAGTTTTTCAATAAAGGAGTTTAATTAAGTCTTGTAATTTTTTATTTCTTGTATATCTAAATATATTTTTTGTTTATCTTAATATATGTATTTATAAATATATATCTGAATATATGTATGTTTATAAATATATGTCTAAATATGTCTGTACCTCGGAGGGATACAACACTATGTCCATTTTCACAACTTTACAGGAGAGGAGTTTTAAACTTTTTTTCAACAAAAAGTGTTAAATGAAAGTGGACTTGGTGTTGTTTTAAAACATGCTATATCCGGTTCTAACTGGTTTTGGACATAGTGCTCTATTCCTCTAAGAAATATGAGAAAAGCTGATTTTAACTCTGTAATAAAGTCAATATGGAAAAAAATGGACATAGTGTTGTATCCCTCCGAGGTACCGATATGTATATTTATTAATATATGTTTTATTCTGATTTATATATGTTTTTAAAACATATGGAATATTATCTTTTTGCTCTCTATCTGTCATATCTATATTCCTTGTTTATTTTCTTTGCTTGCAGCCTTGTTAGGATTTGCACAGGTGCCTTACATTAGTTGTTTGTAGCATTATAAAGATTTGCTAGAAGTCTTTTAGTTGTTGGTTGTATTCTTTTTGTTAATTGTTATAGCATTATTAGTAGCTGCTTTTAGCCTTGTTAGTGGTTGCTTGCTGTTTTGTTGGGAATGAGTTTATATTTAAATATAATCAAATCAGTTATTTTTTGATCCAATGGTCAAACTCTTTTTTTTATTATCTTGAATAGGAATCATTCAGTATTACTACTGATGTTGAACCAAACTTTTTAGCTATTGGCCCTTGTCATCTTGCATCAGGAATGAATAACCGTGTATGGTTTTATTCTATAAATGAAGAAGGTATTTTTTTTTTAATAGTCTTATTTAATGCCTTTAAATTAATGCAATAACATGAAGTAATAAACAATTTAGATATGAATATATGCTTTTTGTTTTTACTAATTACAAATATGTTTCTAGAGTGCTTACTATAATATACTCATCAAAGTCAACTTTATATCACTAAGTTTATTTCTAGAGTGCTTATGATATACTTATTAAAGTCAACTTTATATCACTAAGTTTACTTCTAGAGTGCTTATGATATACTCATCATTAAATTTTGTAGATGTTGAAGTTTTTTTGATGCTTACAATTAATCTTTTAGGTTGTGTACTATTAAATGTCAAAGAGTATTTAGGTACAGTAACAAAAATATGTTTGAATTCTGATTACGTTGCAGTTGGCTTTGATGGAAAAGTTCAGTTACAAGTTGTGAGTATACAACATATGTTTAACTTATAGTTGTAAGTATTGAGTTACAAATATGTGAGTATATGTTTTTCCGGTTTTAAGTTTTTCTAAGTTATGTGAAACATTAAAAGGTTTATTTAGTTATAACAAGCTTTATTTAAGTTTAATATGTTAAGGTATGCTGTTTGTGACTATCAATTTAGTTTAATAATTTATGAAATGTATAATCTAATATAAACTCATAGTATATAATCTTAATATTTACATAGTATATAATCTATTTAGTTGCAATTGCTTTTAGTACTATTATGGCTTCCAGGTAGTATTAAAGGCTAGTATTACTATTTAATCTTATAATACTAACGCCCCTTAACACTAAATGCTGCTAAGTATCACCACCATTTAGTAACACTGCATGGCTGGCTTTAGGACTCTACACAATGCCAAGTCTACACAGTGCCAAGTATCACAACTTATAAAACATGACAATAAACAGATAATTATTATTTTATTATCACAAGTTATTTTGTTCCACTAATAAATTTTACTAAATTTTAACTATCAAGAAAAATTCTCCCTACTCATTATGTACTCCTATATTTTCTGTTAATGCAAACTTCTGCATTGCTACTTTCAAAAATATTTTACAGATGCTTCTACAATTTCAGCTGGTTGACAGTTTATTGTTATTTAAATTTTTTTTTTTTATATGTTATAAAAAATCACTTTACCAATTGAAAATAGTTTTAATGATACAATATATAAAAAAGATATATTTAAAATTTTTTTTTCAATATGTATTTATCTTTTTAAATAAGATAAAAAAATCTATTTAAAAAAACTTCTTTGTAATTCTGTGACTATAAAAACAAATTTTACAGTTCGTCACCAAGAACCAAGAGACCGTGTGACCATATTTTATGTTTTCGTAAAAATCAAGTTTGAAAATTTAATTTGTAAAGACTTTTTGCTAAAATGTCTGACTAGTTTTTTTAAATATTTTTAAAAGTTGTATCATTCTTAAGACTAGATTTATTAGACACATACCTTATTAATTGTTGAATATTATTGATAATAAACAGAAAAAACACAAAATATGGACAAAAGGCCTCTTGGTTCTTGGCTGACAAATTGTCAATTAACTTTATAACCTCAATATAAAGATCTAATATTTAGATCTTTTAATCTAATCAAACTATATTAACTATAAGAATTATGATAACAAAAGTTTTTGTCAGACTACGTTTTATACTTATTTAAAGCTTAGTTCAAATATTTTAGATAAATGGAAAAGCAACAGAGAATTCGACAGAAAAAGAAGGAAGATTATTTCCAGATGATGGCGATAAATCTAAAATAACTTGCTTTATTTTGACAAATGACTTCTTTATTTATGGAAATGAGGTAAAAATCTTTTTTTGTATCTCTATACTATGCTTCTGGGGCTCAGTACTGCATTACACACACTTCAATAGTGTATATAGGCAAACTACTATATACACAAGCATTTAGTACTTTCTACAGAAATAAAATTTGTGCATGAACATGGACAAAGTATTGTGCATTAAGTTCAAACTGTTTTTTTTAATGATTTAATAACAAATTCATTGTACAATCTCTAATAATTAAAAAATAGTTTTAAAATTTTTGTTAAATTTTAAAACAATTGTTTGTTTTGTTTTAATTTACAGTCTGGTCATTTGAAGCATTTTTATATTGAAGATTGGATGAATGTCAATGAGTATAGCCATGTTGTTGGAATACAAAAATTGTACCCTGATTCAAGTGGGACCAAGCTTGTTTTTATTGATGATAAAAACGATGGATTTGTTTATTGTCCAGTAAGTAAACTTATTTTAAATATTTCAAATTTCAAAAAAAAAAATATTTCAAAAAGTCAGAGTTTTCTAAAAATACCTTTTAAACTACTTAACAGAGAATTTTCACAGATAATGTTGTATTTGTTAAATGAATTTTACCAAATCAACTGAAATTATATGTAACTTAGTAAAAAAGGAAAAAAATGAATTATTGCTCTTTTCCTTATATAAACAACTAAAAATTGTTATTTGTTGAAGATAGTTTTGAATTATTTATCCATTTTCTTTACAAGTGTTTAAAGTTAAAAATAAAAATTAATATTTAGTTATTATTTTGCATTTAACCTGCTAAATTTTTGTAACTTTACCTTAATAAATTACCTTTGTAAGTTTTTTGGTTCTGGTTTTTTAATTTACTGTGGTTCTGGTCTTTTTGATTAAGCATTCTTAGATTATTATTTTGATAAAAAGCATTTATTAAGTTGATATTAAGCTAAGAATTATTTTATATACGTTGTGTTAAATTTGGAACATTTTTAAAGATCCTTCAAATCACTTAAATTTATTAGCAAATTATTACAGTAATTTTATCTTAATTCAGGTGGTTGATAGTGCTCACAACATTCAGCAATTTCCCCCTGGAGTAAAATCTGTTTTGTGGGATAATTATTATGTTGATAAGGTACTTTTATTTATTTATTTTTAATATTTTCAAATAATGTTTGTTTTAAAAATGTTTAAAATAAAAAATGTTTTAATTATTCAAGGGTATATTTTGTGGTTATGACCAAGAAAAAATTTATTTGTTTGGCTACTCCAAAGATAGCGTTTCTGGTAATCTTTTAACAATGTTTTTACTTATTTTATTCACTTTTCAAAAAGCCAGGGGTTCACAACTATAGATGAGACTTTTTTATTTTTATCTGGGCATCATCATCAATATTTAAAAGGGTATGGATTGGCCAAAAAATGTCTTATGGTAGTGTGCAATGAAAACTAAATTTTTTTGTTTTTGGAAAAAAACAAGCAATAAGTAACAATTTAATATAAATATTACATTTATATAAATAACAGTTTGTTATCAAAACATCTTTATATTTTTATCCCGTCTTCATAGAGAAAATTAGAATTAGTAAGAAAAGTTGTTTACAATTAAACTTTAAATAAATAAGTTTTATAATTTGATCTAATTTAATTGCAAAATTTGTTTTTACAGTTTTTAATTGCATTTTATTACTTACTGAATATTTGTGAAGTAGCAGTCGAAAAACTTGTTTCTTAAAACGACAAACATGATTTTAAAAATTGTATAAGAGCATTCTTTATTTCTTTAATAAAAGATATTGTTTATCTTGAGTTGTTAAAAAAGTAACTAAAGTTCAATACTTAACAGTAAGGTAATGTTTTAACTTAAACTTTTCATAAACCACATTTTCTTTATCAATTTAAGTACCCTTGAATAAAATAGTTTCTGTGTTATTAATATTACTTGTGTGTACCAACTATGTATTTCAACTAGGTATGTCTTAAATAACACATATTTTGAAACATGTATAACATAATGCTTTTATAGAGTAACACTATAAAACAAAGCCTAATATACATTTTTTTTCTTCTTGAACTTTTGGGAATTTTAAGCCAATCAGGAATTTTGCAGTATACTTGATGTCATCAAGCTTGCTAACACCCTGAAAACAAATAGAAAAGAATTTTTACCACAAATTATTGTGATCATTTGTGGTAAAAACATCATTTTATTTCAAATGATTTTTTTACATTAACATTACATTTGATTTTTCTTTTGTTTGAATGAAATAAAATAAACTTAATTTATATAATATAAGTTACTATTGTACATTTATTTGTGGGTTTTAGGGTTTGAATGCCAACTTGCACTTACAACTAAGCTGTTGTATGGTTATACTCCTGTTATGTTACATAATGGAAAATTGACATGTCAAACTAATAGTGGAAAGGTAAATCAAAAAATACAATTTTTTAAATAAAGTTTAATATCCGTGGTTCCATACTTGTGTGGTTTAGACAGGTTTCCATAATACCATTTTCTTATTTAAATTTAACATTTTGGAAGAATTGAAGCAATTTTACACAACCAGGTGTCCTTCCTGGCATCAATCTGTTTGGCAGTTCCAGATTCAGTTAATTTTTTGTATTTTTTTATAATAATAAAAATTCATAATAAGAAAAGCAAAGTTTTTGTAAATCAAGATTGTCCAATACGTCTTAATTATGAATGGAATATAACCAACCTTTCTCTCTAATCAAATCTTTTGAGTGTTATCATTAAGAACAATAACCATTGTTTTTTCTAAATTTATTTTTTATTATGCAATTTATGCTGAAGTAAAGTTTCTAAAGTGTCTCATTTAATTAAAATGGTGTGAGTCAGCTAAAACCATAATAACTGGTTTAGTAAACAAGTAATACCTTTGCATTACTTGCATACTTTTTAACTATGTGTTACTGCCTTGAAGTTTTGTTTTCTGTATAAATTGTGCATAAAAGCTTTAAAGTCATTTAAAACAGAATGCTTAACATGACTAAGCATTAAAATATATGAATGCATAAACAATTGTAAATAAAAAATGTGGGTGCATAGACAATTGTAATTAAAAGTAAGCTAAACTTTTAACTTTTAACTTATTGGAGTTGTTACTGAAATAAAAAACAAAATGAAAAAGTTATGTTAATCAGAGAAAATTCTGTATAAATCTTTGCTTTAAAATGTAAGTTGTATATGCCTAAACTAAATAAAAGTGACTTCTCAGGAAAATCTTCTAAATTTATATTTAGCATTAGACGCAGAAATAAATGGCAAAAGTTCTTTTCATTTCTTCCTGAAGTTTAAGTAAATTGCATAGTTTGGACCTTTGCTTCTTATTCTTAGTTATTGCTTTGTGCCCTTGGGTAATATGAAATTTGTAAATACAATATGGACATGTTAACCAAATTAAAGGTTCTTTAATAACAGACATCACTTTTTTTGAAGAGTTGTGATATGTTTGCTGATCTAAAATGTTGATTGTTAAAAAAAAAAAATAGAGCATCTTTAATGCTCTATTTTTTTTTTTTTTTATAATTTTTTAATTCATGGTACAATTAGAGTTTTCATTTGATATATATCAAGAACTGGAATTTAAAAAAAAAAACATTTAAAAAAATATTCAGATTATTGTACATTTCTTTATCTGATAAATGTTCACATAGCTGTATCAAGTTCATCACATAGCTGTATCAATTAATGTTTGTAATAAAGTCAGAGATTTTATTTGTATGAGCCTTTTTGTAATTAATGTAATTTGGTGGCAGAATTATTTGACATTTTACATTATTCTAATACACTCCTCAAAAGGTTTCAAACATCCACTATTAAGTTAGGAGTTACTAATAATGTTTCAAACAGCCACTAAGTCATTGTGGAGTTACTAGAAAACAAAGAATAAAAGTTAAAGAGCAAGGAAGCAGTTGACATAATTCTTAAAAAGTTGTAGGTTGTATGTAACTTGAGGTTATAATAGAGTTCCAAATTTTAATTGAATAAAAGTTTTTAGAGCATGCAAGGACAGAGACAGTAAAAAAATGTGATTTTGCTGAATGACGAGTCAAGCAAGAATGAGTTCTGATTGATTTAAATAGAGATGCTCCTTTTGCAGTGACCATGATGGAACCTTACAATGATGGGAGAGAGACTCAAACTTGGCAGATAAAACAGGTCGTACTAGGGTTACAATTGGTTTTTAGACCTTGTCTAAAAGAGAAAGAGCATCATTAGAAGAACCACCCAAAATATGACAACAGTGTTCCATAAAGGGATGAATAAGAGATTTGTAGAAATAGAGAATGGAACAGGAGTAAGAAAATAGTGAGCATGATAAAGAGAAGCAACCTTAGCAGATGCTATCAGGAGCAGATTCAGTGAAAGAATGAGACTTTGCTGAATAATTAGTCAAGTCTTTGCTGAATGATGAGTCAATGAGACTTTGTTGATAGACGAGTATATATATATATATATATATATATATATATATATATATATATATATATATATATATATATATGTATATATATATATATATATATATATATATATATATATATATATATATATATATATATATATATATTGAGTCAATATTAGGGATGGCAAAAATCCCAAACATTTTTGATCCTGGGATTTCGAGATTAAGATATTTGTCCCCGGGAAATCCCAGGATTTAATAGGAAAAATGCAATTGTAGAAAGTGAAGCATAAAAAGAACTAGCGTTTTAAGTACTCATCAAATGCTTAAAAATGAATAATTTAATATTATAACTAAAATACTTCATTCAAATATTGAACCTAAGTAATTTAAATTATAAAACAATACCTTAAAATGGTAACACAGTATAAATAAAAATAACTGAAAATAATATAAACACGCATAAATATACATTAGTTATACTTATTTTTGAAAATATTATCCTAAAAAATTAAAGCATCAATCATTTCATCACTTAATCGTATTTAATTTTTTGAACATAAAAACCCAGCGGCTGAGAACATTAGTTTAGACTCCACTTGTTAGCCGTATAGATAATATATAATCATATGTTTTTTAAAGGTGATCACATCTTGAGCTACCACTTTCTAACAACAGCATTTCTTTTTGAACTTTAAAAGTTATACTTTCTACCCTTTTAGGTTGTGTTCGTATTGCTGCTAATCTTTTTTCTATATACTTTCATTTAATTGTTTACTGATTGTTTAGAAATTGTTATCACACTTGTGGCTTAAAAAAGTCGGATTCAAGAGAACACAATTATCACTACTCAAGTCTGTTGCTGTTATTATACCTGCCTAGTTTAAACACTTTATCAGGTTTATCATCATTTTTTATTTTGGGTACTTGTACTTGGTACTAAAACTTCTGGGATTTTTTATGAAGTAATCTGGCCATGAAGATATACTAAACTCCTTAACAGTGTTCTCTCTTTAATTCGTTGACTCATAACATCATAAAATTGGATTCAGATTAATGTTCTTTCTTTTTTGTCAACTTAAACTACCATAGAGTTCTTTCATTTTTGTCAACATAAACGCAATTTCAGATGAAATTAAAGTTGAGTCTCATTGACAAAGTTGCTTTAAAAGGAGCCAAATGAATTACTGGATCAAATATCCTTCTACTTTCTTTTTCGTTCATCTTAATTGAATCATCAATGTTGATATCTAATTCTAAATCTAGAAGTGCTTTTTTAACACAACTTTTTTAATTTTAATTCTACAAATCGGTCTAGAATAAGCAATAAGCTGCTCCATCCGGTTTTACAATCCATGATTAAATGGATGACCTTTCCAAACTTAATTTTTACATACTTTTGTAAATAATTTTCATTTTTGTTTGGGGACCTTTTAAACATTTTAACAGTTTTTCTGACTTGTTTTAATGGGTCCAATAATTTAGTGCTTATTTTTAGCTTTAGATGTTTTATTAATTAACTATAGTCTTCCTCTTTAAAATAATTTCTACTTTAAGTAACAAAAACTAAAGTTTATTTAATAAGCCTTGTGGTTTTTGATAACTTTTGTAAAACTGACTTTAAGTAAACTTTTGTAATTTAATAAACCTGTATTTTGATAACTTCTTATTTTAAATCTTATGTTAAATAAAATTTTGTAAATCAAGCGCGCATTTGTAATTGAATTGAGTGGTCAAAAAAAAATTAAAATCTTGCACACATTTGGAATTAGAATGAATTAAAAAATTCAAAACAAAATTAAGTTATACCTTTTATTAAAAATTTTTGATCTTCCCATCAGCAAATGCTTAAAAATTTTGTCGTTTTCAACAGTATATTAGTTTTAATATTATACTATATATACATTTTTTATATGTTAAATTGAACATATTTTGCAGATAAGCAACAATATTTTTATTTTTTTTTTTCTTTCTATAAAATACAGAAAGAGAGAGAACAAAAATGAAAATATTGCAAAGAGAACAAACAGCTAACAAAACCAAAACAGCTAAAAAACCAAACTGCTACTATACCAAAGCCTATATTTACATTTTATGACCCAAAATTCCGTAAAATTTCAGAGACTAATCCCGGGATTTTGGGATGAACAATTTGTACAGAATCCCGGGATCGCCATCCCTAGTCAATACATATATATATATATTTTATTCTAAGCGATCAAAAGGAGAAGATGTTTTGTCAAGACAGGAGTATATAGTTAAGTCGTTAGCAAATAGAGCCACTTTAAATATACGATTGTTAGAAAGATTATTAATGTACATAATAATTAATACAGGACCAAGGATAAAACATTGAGCTCCCACAGAAGTTACTGGAAATGAAGAAAAAGCCTTCAAGGATTACTTTAATAGAGTGGTTAGAAAAGAATGATTTGATAATCTCAAAAACAAGATACAGTCAAGCACTTCTAACTCAAGTAAAATTGAACATATATATGCCACTGCTTATTTTGAAACTGATCAATCTAATTTTGATCAGACCGAAGTTACGAACAATTTTGATAGTTTAAAAAATTTTTTAAGCAATGGCAGTAATGAATTTATTTCTGGCAATTCTTAATACACAGCGTAAAATGAAATATATATAATTATATATATATATATATATATATATATATATATATATATATATATATATATATATATATATATATATATATATATATATATATATAATTAGTAATATTTTTTTCCATCTCAATCTCTTTTAATATATATATTTTTAATTTAGCTTCAATATATAGAATTAATTCAGGAATGTCCTCTTCCTGTTTCTACAAGTAATAGTGAGGTAATTTTCTTTTTCATTAGGCTTAATTTTTCTTTACATGAACATTTTAATTTTTTTTTGCCTTTTTTTTTTTTTTTTAGATGAAATCAATACTTAAAAATTTATTGGTATTAAGAAGGTAGCTTTATACTTTTACTTGCGACATAGATGATCAAATAATAACAAATGATTAAATTACTGTTACTAAGACCTGATATGGACTGGAGAATGAATTAACTCTGAAGCACATGTATTTTTATTCATTTGAAAACATTGTTGTCTACCCTTAATATTTTTAAATGAGTGAAAACGTATGTGTTTTATGGTTGTGAAACTAATTTTTTTACTTTAGAATTATATTTTTGTTTTATCTTGACATTAAATTTAGATTTGAAGATGCTTGGAGTGTTTGTGAACAATTAAATGAAGAAGAAAGTTGGAAGTTACTGGCTGAAGTTGCTGCCAAGCAACTAGATATTAAGTTAGGTTAGTGTTGTTTTATATTAAGTTGTTGTCTAAGGTTTTAAGACATTTTGCATAATAATGTTTTTTTATGTAATTTTAAAAAAAGTAAATCTTTTGAATGTATGTTTTGAACAACCATGTGAGTGGCTGTGGTATTTTAAAATCAGTATTGTAGGTGTCTTTATAACCTGATTGTTAATCAAGTTTTTTTATAACCATTAGATAGTTAATACTTGTTTTGTTCATTTTGTTCAAAGTATATTAAATTACAATATAAATTCTGAATACTGCATTTCTTTTTTTAATAAAACTTGCAACTTTTTTATTTTATAGCTATACGTGTAAATAGAAAGCTTAAGAATGTTGCTATGGTTTTATCTTTGGAAAAGATTAAGGTATACTAATTTGACTTTACATGTACTAATTGAAACAAAAATTGATAATTTCGATTGCTGTTTATTTACTTCCAGCCCGTATACTATGCAATTGTTTTGATATAATTTAGTTATAACTTTTATTTAATGTTTGTTAAAATAATAAAATTTGAAAGTCTTGATTTGATGTTTGTTCTTATTTCTGCATTTATGTTGCGGATTTTGGTATTGTATAATTGAAATAAAACAAAATATGTAGGTTTATTATTATAATATCCAAACGTATTTTAGCAAAGTTTCTCTCCGCTATTATTTAAAATACTGGAATAAAAAACTTCTAAATATTTTTTAAAAATTATATGAGATTTTAAAAATTTTATTGTTTAACTTAGGACTTAGAAGACAAGAATCTTTTGGGTGGTTATGTGGCCATGATTTTAAAAGATTTCAACCTTGCTCAGGTATGTTGCATTTTAGTCTAGCACATCTGTATTTTGTTTAAACTTACCATGTGTGTAGTGCATTTAAAGTTTATTTGATCTACAATTGATTTTAATTTTGGCTTCTCAGGTAGCACATTATTTTATTATAGGTTAATAACTTTTAAATTTTTTTTTTTACCAGGAATTGTTTTTAGCATCTAGTTCTCCAGTTGCTGCTCTTGAGGTTTTTGTTTTTTTTGAATCATTCAAATTTTTTTTTATAGTTTTTTTATAAAATTTATTATGCAAATACAAGTTTATATAGGAAAATTTATTTTGAATTGATTTAATTAGTGAAGATTTTATTTTTAATTAGTTTAGCATTGCTATTCTTCTCCTTTTCTCCTGTGGAAAAAAAGAGAAGAATGGCAACCCTAAATGTGTGTGTGTGTGTTTGTGTGTACTGCACTAAACTTGTTTACTTGTGCAGCAGCCTTGTTTGTCAAGGTTCATATTTTAGACCTATAGAGTTGAGAAAAGGTTGTAACCACAGTTTAAGTAGCCTCCTGAATTGTAGTGGCCTCCTTGGCCTTGCAGAGTTAAACTTACATTAAAATAAAAAAAATCTTTAAAATTTATATTTTAAATATAATTATAAATATATTGATATGATTTAATATCTAGTATCAACTGTTATAATAATTTGCTTCTTACTGTTATAATTGTTTTACTCTTTCTTTATATGTTATAATTATTTTACTGGTTAGTGGAATATATTAAAACTGAAATGTTGATAAGAAGCAGTAAAATTGTAGCAAATAAACTTAAGTCTTAACTAACCAGTTCCAGTTTCATTGTTATCAATTAACAAAATCATGAAACATGGCAAATATTAATGCAAAAACACAACAAAGTTTGATGTTAGATTTTATTAATGTCTAAATTAGCTTCTGAAGAGATTGTTATCTGAAGAGCTTGTTAATGAAAAAGAAGTGCAAAATTGATGTTGGTAGAAAATTTGTCAATTTTTCAGCAAAATTGTATTGTCTTTTTAAAATTGGGTTATTTGGTGCCATAAAGGAAATCATGAAACTACTTTTCTCTATTATTTTTTTTGTAGAACTGACACATTAAAATTAAAGCATAAAGGGTATTGTCACCCTATCAACATTAAAGCAATCGAGATGGGGGGAAGAAGGCATGAATTTGTTCATTTTAGATAAGTTTCTAACAGTGTAAATTAAAAAAATTATAATTTTTATCTTCAAACTTCATATTTCTATAAATTTTTTTGCCAAACTGACGCATTAAAATCAAATTGTAAAGGGTATTTTTGCCTAAGGGATTGTCCATAAATTACATCACACATTAGATGGGGTAGGGGTTTGTGTTTTGTGACAACTCATATGGGACTTGTTGCTAAAGAGTTACAAAGTTGTGACAAGGAGGGGGGGGGGATTTGGTCAAAAACTGTGGAAAATTGCGTGGCTTAATTTATGGACGACCCCTAATCTGTTCCTTATTTTCACCAAAACTTGCATCAATATCAGAAATCAGGTTTGTCTTGCTGATATGTTCATCATATTCCTCATCTCTTTGATCATAATCATCTTCCCCTTCAGTTGCATAATCAATTACATAATTGTTTCTCTTGAAGTTAATGATGAGGTTTGTAAAGTATATCACAAACACAAAAATGGATTGCATGTGCAAGACAGGCAATGTAAATGGAACTATTATATTTTCCAAATTTCATTATTACACTTGCGTCATCAGTGATTGATGCTACATTTTTATTGCCTAAATCCAGATTGAGTTCAGACAATCTTGACTTAACAAGTTTAATAACTTTTTCAGTTTTGATTCTTCCAATTACTTATTCTTTAAAATTACCTGGTAAATGGGAAATAACTGTGTAAGAAGCAACATCTAAAAAAAAAGATCATGATGTTGGATTCTTTTTAGATCAAAAGGGGCAGAAAGGCAACTATGGATAGCCTTAATAAAATCTTTGAGGCTAAAGTAAAAAATGCAAAAGTAACATATAATTAGAATATCAAGCATAATGATAAAAAAGAAAGACTAGAAGCAGTTGACAGGATGATCAGGTCTTTGAGGACAAGGAAGTTAATGACAAAGAACAGAATAAAGAAAAAAATATTGTGGTTGCTGAAGCAGATGTCAAATTATACTGGGACTTACTTAAAAGAATTACACATTACAGAAATCACTTTTGCAGCAGATAGTAAAACAGCTATGATTGTGTCAGCTGTAATGAAAGCTGATGGTGGAAGCTTGGGTGATTTTGATACTTTTAGATCAACATCTTATTGAAGTAGAATATTAAATCAACAGCGTTTGGTAGATTGTATTATAGATAATTTGATGCTCAACCCACCCCAGTTAATTGCCTTTCACAATCAACGAAAAATTTCTAAAAAACCTATTTGGTGTGAAACATGAACAGTTATCTGTGCTTGTGTTGGGTGCTCTAGATTACAATGAGCAAAAATGCTAATTTTGGTCTGAGGTACTGCTAAATTATTTGAAGAAAAAATTTTAACTTTTTTGCTATGCTTTTTGACACTACATTTTCGACATCTTTTTTAGAGCAGTTTGGAAGAAGTTTTTTGGAAGCACTTTTAGTCCAGAGAACAAATTTTTGGCTGAATTTAGAAATGCCTAGCCACCACTGGATAAACAACCACTAATAGAGTGTGCCAAAGACTATTACAATGTTGCAAAATCTCGAAGAGTAGATCATAAAACATTAAACACATCTACTTCCTAACCAAGGTGCTACAACATTTCTAAGAGATGACTATTTTAAATATGGTGAAAATACACTCATTGCTTTTGGACCAAGTCCACAGTTGGTTCGCACTTTCTTAAACTAAGGGCTATCTAAACAATTGTCTTGGGTTGATAATTTGATTATTATCCAATGGAATTGGATGATGATCAATTTATTTAGAATTAACAAGTTTCTTTTTTTTTTCGCACACTAGCTTGGGCAAAAGATAGTATGATGCTGATGCACTTGTGAATGACCTGCAATTCATCTACGACATGATGTACAACAATGAAATAGAAAAGGAAGATGCTGATGTTATGCTTTCTAAAATAATTAATCATTGATTGTATTTTACAGAAGTTGCTCTTTTTGCTTTTTTAAGATATAGATATAGTTTGAAAACAGCTCCAACTATATGAGCCGAAATATCACATTAAAAATTAAAAAATTTTAATAAGTTAGATAAATAGTATGTCACCATAAATAATGTATTTTTAATTTATATATATATATATATATATATATATATATATATATATATATATATATATATATATATATATATATATATACATGTATGTATATTTTAGATGCGACGTAGCTTACTTCATTGGGATCAGGCTTTAGAACTTGCTAAAGGTCTCGCTATAGACCAAATTCCTTTTATTTCTAAAGAATATGCTCAGCAGTTGGAGTTCATGTAACATACTATTATTACGTTTAAGTTTAGTTTTTCTTTTGAAAAAATTCCAGAAATGCATATCATGTATTATATTAAATATATTAATTTTTTTGTACGTTTAGAGGTGATTATTCAAATGCATTAATTAATTATGAGCGAGGTATATCTAATGAAATTGAGGTAAGTTTATTATTATTAACATTATTTTTTTATTAAGACAGTATAGTATAATAAAAAAAGAATAATTTAGAATTAGTTTTTTAGCATTAAGTTGGATCTTTCATTAGTAATGCATCATATACCGATCTGCAATGTTGTTATTTTCTCTGCTTTTTTTAGTTTTAAGTATTGATATTTTAGAATAAAGATCACAATGAACTTTGCCAAGGAGGTATAGCAAGAATGACTATTCGTCTAGGTGATATTAGGAGGTGTTTGTTAAATTTTATCTTGACAATTTTGTTTTTATATTTCATTTTTTTCTATCAAATTCTAATTTCCACTTTTTTCAGAAATTAAAAAATATTTTGAATTTTAGAGGTGTTTCCATAGCAATAAAGTCTTCCAACAAAGTATTAAAAAAGGAATGTGCTTCACTTCTAGAAAATATGAAAGTACGAATATAAATTTAAAGCTATTATATAAATGCAAAAAGCAATTTTATTTTCATTAAAATATTTTAACTTTTCAGCAATTCTCAGATTCTGCTGCTTTGTTTGAAAAAGCTGAATGTTGGGAACGCGCTGCAGGAGTTTACATCAAGATGAAGCAGTGGTAGGTGATTATTAACAACCGGTATAGAAAGTTGGCTGTAGGGTAGAAATTTAAACAAAATTATTTTAAAATGATATTCATAGTAAGATGTGAATAAGATGAAAAATACATTTATGGAGGTCAAATTAACTTCTATTAAATTTACATTTACTTTTTATGGCATTGCATATTTGAAGGAAGAAATCTTTATTATAAAATTAGAGATGTGCTGCAACCAGTTTATGCAGAGTCTCCGATTCCAGCTTTGTAAAAGAAAATACTGGGTTCAAGTCTGGGTACCCGACACTGGGTCCATTTTTAAAAATGGGAGTAAAACCATAATGCTGATTAATTTGTGCTAATTAAGCTTGCCTGAATATATTAAGTTTTCTTTTTAATGAACAACTATATTTTGACTTGAGGTCACAAATTTAAATTACGCAAAATAAAGTGTAAACTCACAGTCCATAAATATTCTTTCTACCTCAGGGTTGGTAATATTTGGAATAACTTGCTGTCTAAGGTCGTTAATGCCAAAAAAATTTGGTGCTTTAAATTTAAAATTAACTCTACCAACTTCAAAAATATTGTTCCAGCTAACTAATTTTTGTTTTATAATTATGGTTTTAAATATATTATGTTTTTTTTTTTGTAATTTATTGCTAAATAATTGCTAATATGTGCTAATTAATTCAAAGTTATGTTATAAAAATAAAAGATTAAGAGATTTATATAGGAAATATATCTATATGGATTTATATATTTATATAGTATATATATTTTTATTTTTAAATAAATCTTTAAATGATTGTTTACAATAAACATGTAAGAATTCATACATGTTTATTGTAAACAGTTGTTTACTTTAAACTATTGTAAACAAAAACTGTATTTCAAAGCGAATTACGCATCTTGATTAGATCAAAGTATCAAACTCATTCATACAAAGTTTAATTATTAAAAATTCTCTCACACAATAAAAAGAACCTATTCAAATATTTACGAAAGAAATTTTTCCTATTCTCCAATTATTTCATTTTGCATTATTAATTTTATATCCGTATAAATCAGTTTTCTTCTGCAATATGTTCTGATTATTTTACATAATTTTTTTTTAATTATTTTGTGGTTATTGACTCAATAACACTTTTAGACTTATATCCAAAAGTTTATTGGTTAAAGTTTGAACTAAAATCAATCCAGTATTAATATTTCGGCGCAATTTTAAGTACCACTAAACAAATATTTATAGCACTTGAGGTTTGTGTTTATTAAAAGTTTCTTTTAAGATACCTGGTGCTGGGAAAACAAACAAATTACTGGTCCAAACTGGGTACCCGGCACACCAATATTAAAATATGTTTTTAGCATAACTTTTAAAATATATTAAGTGCATTTAATAAATTTTTAAGAAATTAAAAACTTTTGTAAGAGAAAACCAGTTATCCTTGGATTTTCTCAAAAATTTAATGAACAATGCTAATTTTCTATCCATTTGAGAAACACCATTAGTCAAATACTATTCAAAAATATAACAATTTTAATAATAGTCCAAAAATATAACAATTTTAATAATAATAGTAATAATTTTTAATTATAGACATGAAAATTTGAATAAAATTTTCATTTTAAAATAATTTTTATTTTACAAAGATTTTAAAATTTGACTAATTTTAAAAATTGTACCAATCAAAATATAGCTATAAAGGTTTATTTGAATAACTGACTTAAATATTATGTAGCTCTTAGGTGCAAAAGATGTTTATAAACACTTTTTAATTGAATAATTTTTCTAGGAACAAAGTTGGAGAACTACTAAAAAATATAAATTCTCCAAAGCTTTTACTTCAGTATGCAAAAGCAAAGGAATTGGACGGAAAGTATAAAGATGCTGCTGCTGCATATAAGAAAGCTAAAGATTATGAAAATGTTATTCGGTTTGTTTATAAAAATTTCTTGCTTTAAAAAAACTTTCTTCTGTTAACTTTTTATATAACAACTTTTGTTGCTATACTAATTTTCTTTTTCTCTTCAAGAATTAACCTTGAACACTTGCAAAATCCAGAGGAAGCTGTACTTATTGTCAGAGAAACACAGTCTGTTGAAGGCGCAAAGATGGTTGCAAAGTATAAAGTTTTTTGTTATTCTAAATATAATAGGGTTTAATCATTTTTAAAGGTGTGTGTGTGTGGGTGTGTATATATACATATATATATATATATATATATATATATATATATATATATATATATATATATATATATATATATATATATATATATATATATATATATAAATATATATATATATATATATATATATAAATATATATATATGGGCAATTATATTTTTAATTTACGTTACCAACACAACAACTTAATTAGGTATTTGCCTATTTAAACTGTAAATTAAACTTTTAGCTATTTTGTATGAAAGCTGTTAGTCTAAAGATTAAAATAAGCTAAAACGTTTTGAGTCTGGCCAAAAGAGGGCAAACTTATTACTGAAAATGCCACTTAACTTAGGTTACACGGAAAACAAGGTAAATAAATTACTTTAACTTTTAGGTCAGATTTCTGTGAATCAGTAAAGCGGTTTGTATTAAAAATTTTCAGAAGATGTTAAGAATTCTATGCCAATTTAAAAATATATAAAATTTTTTATTAAATTTTATTAAATTTTTTAGTAAATTTTATCAAAATTGAACGGGTAAGTAAAATAAACTTGTTTTTTTGATACTACATATTTAACTTACATTACATCGCTTATGTTACCGAGCAATATTTATCATGGATTTTTTATATCTATTATTCAGAGGTAAGGTTACGTAACAAAACAATTGCAAGAGTATTGAACTCATTTATTAAGAATAATTAACAAAGGAAATATTAAAAAACTGGTGGCACTCTTCCTAAGTGATTTTTTATAAAATTTATGAAAGTTATCTAAGGGAAAACAGTTTTTACACAAGACCAAGAGCAACTTTAAAAGATTATTTTAGTATTACAACTTAATAGTTATTTGAGTTGTTTAAATAAGAAAATCATTGGTTTGTTGAAGTTTTCATTTACACTCCTTACATTTATGCGTATTGCCTTATTTTCATTAGATTGAATTTTTAAAATGCTGTAAAGTATTTACAGCATTTTAAATAGTACATTTAAATCTTTTAAAGTATTTTTGACGAGAAAACTGCTATCACAGTTTTGGAGGGAGATAGAGAGATAATAGCTCTAGCCTCTCAGCCTCAATTTATGCATATCTAGCCTAAATTATGCTGATTTCAATTACAATATAAACTGTACTTCAAGATGGTGCTGAAGATATCTGAATCACTTTTACTTTACCTCTATTATACTCTACACTTTTACTTTTTAAAGAAAAAGGCTCTCATTTCCTAATTAGGGAATGATTTTAAAGTATAATCCTTAACCACTAACAAAATATTTGTTTCCTATGCTGCTACTCTCCTTGTGTCTATATGGAAGTTAACAGGGCTCATAGCACTCAGGGAAAACACAGAAAAACCAGGCAGTTGTTTTGGCAGTTGAGATAATCAGTGAAAACCTGGAAAAGTCAAGGAAGTTTTTCTGGAAATCCTCAAAATCAATGAATGATTTTATCTCAGAATGATTTTAAAATAACTGAATATTAGTTTTATATTCAGCCTAAAGTTATTTTGCAATATCCTTGACTTGTTTTTTTGTGAAAACAATGCCTTTAAAAAATCTTAGAATAAATACTAGAAAACAGGAGAAAATCATGGAATAAATACTTAAAAAATTTTATTTATTTTCAAAATTGCTTGTATTTTCAAAAGCTAAAATTGATTATCAAAATTGCTATGAATGGTTTTATCTGAGCAAGATAAATTATTTTAGTTGCGAACAAATTAAATTATGGACTTTTTGTCCTACTAAAATACCATGATTTTTCTAAACCCTAATACATAATATTTGTTATTCACAATAAAAATTTTTATTATTTTAAAAATCTTTAAATTTTTAAATTATGATATTATATAAACTTTTTTTTTAATTTCTTTTTAGATTTTTTCAAAAGCTTGGAGATTTCGCATCCGCTATTCAATTCCTTGTGATGTCTCGATGCAACGATGAAGCATTTACTCTCGCTCAGGTTATTTTGGATTGTTTACATAATTATTTTTTATAAAAATTAAAGATAAATTTGTCTTCCTTTTCAAATTTCAACTTATCATTTAGTTAACATGACAAAATAATTTGTATGATAACAATGTAAATAATAATAATAATAATAATAATAATAATAATAATAATAATAATAATAATAATAATAATAATAAAGAGTGTAATGAATCATTGTTTGTGTTAATATTTACTAATGACCTTATTTTTTTATTTTTCTATTAAAAACAGTTTATTAAATGATCTTGTTTCTAAACATATAAAACTATAAAATTGGCCATTAACTTTACTAAAAGTTTCTCCTTGAGTTTTATTTATGGTCATTTGTTAGATCTAATTTAACCTTAAGACCAAATACCCTCATTCTAAGTTTAAAGTTCTAAATTTTCAAAGTAATTATTTTCTAGTGCACTAACCGTCAGTCAAGTAAAAATTCAATGTTTTTATAATTATACTTATAAATATATTTCTAAATTAACTATTTTAAACAAATTAAGTGGTTGGAATTTGTTTAAATAAACTAATTAGAAACCTATAAGTTAATATAAAACCTATAAAACCTACATTTGTTTATAATATACTAAAGTAGTGCGTCAAATGAATTAAAAACAGCTTTGGTAGTCAAAGATGACCAAGAGTCTTACCAAATAACTTACCAAACTTACTTAGCAAAATACCATTTTATATAAAATGCCATTGTATACAAATTATATTGAAAATGCATATAAAATACTATTATATATATATGAAATATATACAAAGCACCATTATATATAAACATTTGAAAAGTGTTAAAAAAACATTAAATTAATGCAATCAACTAAAATATAAAAATAACAGCCTGCATTTCTACATTGTGATCCAATGTATCAACAATATGTTATCTATCTATTCAAGATCAGTTAAATGTAGTGTTTAGTACAAAAATACCTTTATTTTGGTTACAGTTCACTATTAAATCTATCCCATTAAATCTAGCTTTTAGACCATGCTAGATGAATTCAAAATTACTTAAAGTAATTAAATTTCTCAAATAATTTGGTTTAAATTTTAGAAACTTAGGAAGACTTAACATGCTTGAATTTTACATATTTTGGTTAAATTTTTTAAATTTTATATTATATAACAAAAAATGATATATATATATATATATATATATATATATATATATATATATATATATATATATATATATATATATATATATATATATATTTTAAAATATTTAAATGTTCTATTTTATAGGAACATGATAAAATGGAACAGTATGCAGAAATTATAGGTATAAATTTAATATATTAAAAGGTAAAAATTTAAAATATAAATAGTAGATATAAATAAAATTTATGTATATATATATATATATATATATATATATATATATATATATATATATATTTATATATTTATATAAATATATATATATATATATATATATATATATATATATATATATATATATATATATATATATATATATATATACACACACACATGCCTAAAGTATCACTTACAGGGACAGATTTTACATAAAAATGAATACTTACATGGACATTAGCATTATTGGGGACATTTTTGTGTATTTTTTTGTCACCATAAACATCATTTTTGGTATGTACATACCAGTAGGAGTGCTGCTACATCAACTGAGGGTTGTTTTAGGGACAGGATTAAGGTCAGACTTAAAGAACCATGGCCTACAAAAAATGTTGTAGGCCATGGTTCTTTAGTTTAATAATTTATCTATTTTTAATTGTAAATTTAAAAAAATAAAAAAAACGAAAAAATTAAAAAATGATATAAAATAAAACCATACAAAAATTGAACAAAAGAATAAATTAATATAAAATACTATAAAAAATTAAAAAAAATAACAGTTTGACAGTTGATTGCTTTCCTATTTTAAAGGTTTTGTTATACTATTGTTTTACTTCATTTACTGAAAATAATTTTAATAGGTGATGCAGCAACAGCTGAAGACTATAATAATATGGCTGTTTATTTTGAAAATCAACGTGAAAGCTTGTTAGCTGGTAAATTCTTCTCAAAAGCAAATTTTTATCAAAAAGCACTAAATCATTTGTTGCGGTGTCCTGTCACTGAGAGTGGTGAATCAGTTATATTAGCTATTGAAACTGTATGTTTGTTTTTATACAAAGATATTTTTAGCAATTTTTTATGAGTAAAAAGTTGAATCGACTGTTTTTTAAATTTCATTAACTGCTGTTTAGATTAAGAATGCAAAAGATGAGAAGTTAACATTAAAGCTTATTGATTTTTTAATTGGAGAAGTTGATGGTATTCCTAAGGTTATTTTGACTTTCTTATTTTATATATATATATATATATATATATATATATATATATATATATATATATATATATATATATATATATATATATATATATATATATATATATATAAATAAATATATATATATATATATAAATATATATATATATATATATATATATATTTATACACTTTTTTTTTTTTTTTAATGTCTAAAAACTTAATTATTTACTAATGGCAGTGACATACTGTGTCTTCTATGTTCAGTTTGTGGTACAGGCATTACAAGCATATTTAGCAATTTAAAACAATTCAAATTTAATGTTTTTGTTGCTGTAGAGGTACTAAAAGTATTATTTAATAGTTTAATATATAGTAATAAATAATAACATTTTAGTCATTTTTACATTGCCTGTTGCAAAGATATAGTCCATTAAGTTCTTATCTACACTGGGCAAATAGCATTTGTGGATGCTATTGTCAGTTTCTTCAATTCATCTGTTTTTCTTTAGACAGTTGCAACACAACTACTCCACACATGACTACATTGCTTTGGCAAGAGATTTCAATATCGGTTCCCACCCTCCACCAGTTATTTAATTTCAATTCCATTTAATGTTATTTAATTCAGTGATAGATGGTTCACTTTTATATTTTTTGCTCAGATGTGTCCTCTTTAAAACAAAGCTACTTTGATATGTTGCAGAAGAGCTGCTCCTTGTATTGGATTTTCATTAAATAGTAGATATGTTTTTTTTTTTAAATCAATAGATAAGGTGATGATACTTTTGTCAGAATTGTGAATTTTTCCAATAGTTTAATCACCTCTTCTGTAATAAATGTTGGTTAATTAGAGAGAGTTTGAATAACAGGTGTAACTTTTGTAGTCTGAATATTTGCAGTCTAATGAGCTTGAAAAAACATCAAGAGTAACACATATTTAATTAGGATTTAATTAATGAAAAACAGAAATTGCCAGCACCACTACAATTGTTTTAAATTTGGCCCTGTGTTCAAGTTGATAGTGGGTAAAGGTGATTTTTACAATCAAAAATTCATTAATGGGATCCCAAACCTCCGTAACATGTTGTGTTTATATTAAAGAGAATAATTAAAAAATAGTTTTGGGCTAAATTTTTTTGATTAAAACAAAAGAATAAATGCAAACCGAGAAAAACTAACCTTTTTATTTTAGTCGACTTGATAATTTATTTAAGCTCATTTGATGACATCATTGACATTTTTGTTTGTTTACATAATCAATTTTTTACAAAAACAAAAAAAATCAATGGCATCATGTACTGAAACTCTTAGAAAGGTCTTTAAGGTCTTTCTCTCTTGATTGTGAATAATTAAGTTTTAAAATGTACCCTTAAAAGAGCATTAGATTTTTCCTTTACTGAAAAGTACTAAAAGTGAGGGAGAAAAGAAGAAAAGTCTCTGTGCTGAGACTATTTTTCTCCCTTTTAAATATTGCTTAAATTTCATGTTACAAAATTTATGCCAGCTACCTTGGTAGTTCTCTAATTTTTGTGCTACGCCACAACATTTGTCTAGCTTGGGCAAATCTAATAGGATAGGATGTGAACTAAGTTCAATAAAACCTGCAACATTTTTAACAAATGTTTTGTACTCCAGTGGCAGTTTACTAGCAAGATATTGCAGTTTTTTTTCTTGACATTTTCTATTAATATTTTTCATTTACTTTCTTGACATTTTCTATTAATATTTTTTGTTTACAGGAACACTCTAAGAAAGGTAGAAGTATAAATGCTCATTCACTAAGATTTTTTAAATTGTTGATTTAAAATTTTAATTTTTTAGGACTCACGTTATTTATTTCAACTTTATATGGCATTAGAGCGATATCCTGAAGCTGCAAAAACAGCTGTGATTATAGCACAAAGTGACCAAGAAATTGGAAATTATCGTAATGCTCACGATGTTTTATTTAGTATGTTCAAAGGTATCTTTTACTCAATATTTTTTGTTTTGTAATTTTTTTATTTCAATGGGTAGAATGTAAAATTTGGATTTTTATAGAGTTACGTGATCGAAAGATCAAAATACCAAGTGAAATGAATCAAAATCTAATGCTGTTGCATAGTTACATTTTGTGTAAGGTAAACAATTTTTTTTGTTTAAAGCTTATGCACAACTATATTTTATGTTAACTAAACAAAGAAAAATTTAAGTTTAAGGTTTTTAATTTTAAGGGATGTGTGTATATATGTATGTATATATATATATATATATATATATATATATATATATATATATAATATATATATATATATATATATATATATATATATATATATATATATATATATATATATATATATATATATATATATATATATATATATATATGTGATTTGAAAGTTTGGATTATGGTCTTTTAGTGTTACAAAGGCTTGAGCAGGGGCAGTATATTCGATTCTGCTATCAAGGTTTATTCTTTGAGCAATACTTTGGGCTTCTAAATTAATTGCTTTTTCCAAATTTTTAGGGGCTTTCTCATAAGAACTAGTAATATTGTCGCGTAAAATTTTTTCATAGTTTTCTGTTGTGTGTTGGTAAATGTTATTTGTTTTATCAGCAAAAACCAAAACATTTGGGTTTGATTTAATTTTTTCAACATCTAACTTTAATTCTGTTTGAAATTCATTTTTTATAGGGCGAAGCTTTATTGTTTTAACTAAGTGCAATAGGTCATTTTCAAAATTTTCCAAATCAGGTATAAAAGGTCGGATATTTTTTGTTTTAAATCCATAATTATCATTATCTTGGTTATTATTAAATACATCATCTGTGTTTATATTTGGTTTTAAGAAAAAATGGGCTTTCCAACGAATTCTTTTAATAAAATGCTCAACTTTTTCGATCAAAGAAATAGTATAACTTTTTTCATCTAGTATATGTATATTTTTCAACGAGTAAATGAAATTAGTTTCCATATTTACACGGAATGTTAAAATACAATTAAGAGTGCTCAACAAATGTTAATAAGGAGCCTAATATATATTTAAACAATTTTAAAAATGTATTCTACAAAATAGAGTGCTCAATGTTCTTAAAAGAACAGGGCAATTATAAATTAGTAGAAAATCACTTAACAAAATTTTTTTTTCATTTTACACATATAAAACAACTACCTTAAGTAGTAAACATTTTGAGTTGAAATTTTCTGTCCTGTTTATGTATTTACTATAGTGTATATAGATCCAGTAATTGCTTGCTAGTTTTGCTTATATTTATAAAATATGGCTTTCAGAAAAAGTGTATATAGATCCAGTAATTGCTTGCTAGTTTTGCTTATATTTATAAAATATGGCTTTCAGAAAAAGTGTATATAGATCCAGTAATTGCTTGCTAGTTTTGCTAATATTTGTAAAATATGGCTTTCAGAAAAAGAAGAACAATAAGAAGATAATGAAGTTACAATTAAGAATGTCAAAGAAAAACTAATATCAAGTTTTTTTCTGTTATTTTTGATTGAAACTTATAAGAACTTAAAATTAAAACATATTGTAATAAGATTTTTCAATTTTATATCTTGAGCACGCTCTTTTTTCTTTCCTTTAACTTCTTGTAGATTTTTTTGTGATTGTTTAAATTATTTGCTTTTTTTTTTAAAGATTAATACTTGGTCACGTGTTTTTATTATCATTGGTTTAGGCAAGAATTCTTCATTCAATTATTATTTTCACCTAGTAAATATTAGACTAAAGTGATTGTTTTTAAGATACCTTGTTTTTAAAAAGATCCTAGAACCTTATAACAGTTTCTTATACTACAAGTTTATAAATTAAAAAAGTTAAGTATTAGAATATCATAAAAATACTTTAAACTTGAAATTTTTAAATTATAATAATATTTTGTTATACCTCTGTGGTCTTCATGAATATATTGTTATAGTTTTTATTATTTTTAGTATTTATTTGCATTATTTTTACATAATGATATTTATTCTAACTTTGTTGTGTGTAAATTTTTTATAAATATTAGAACAAACTTACAAATTTGAAAAAAAGAATTTAGTTTTTTGTAAATCTTTTTCTAGATTCATATAAAAAGGGGCGACCATATGAAAGGTGCACGCATGCTCATTAGGGTTGCAAATAACATAAGCAAATTTCCTCAACGTAAGTTTTTTTTTGTTTGGGAGCTGAGACTTAATTTTTTTTTTTTTTAATGGTTTAAGTTTTAAAAATACTTTGTTTTAGATGTTGTTCCTATACTAACATCAACAGTGATTGAATGTCATCGAGCGGGATTAAAAAATCATTCGTTCAGTTTTGCATCAATGCTCATGAGAGCAGAATACCGATCAAGTATTGACTTGAAATATAAAAAGAAAATTGAAATGATAGTCAGGTAATAAAATGTTTTTGTTTCATTTTAGTTTTATCTCATTTTGAATTTGTCATTAATATTGATTTTTGTTAAACATTTGAAGAAAACCAGATAAAACTGAAGAAGATGAACCACTTGACCCTTGTCCGTTTTGCTCGTACCAATTACCTCAAACTAGATTGGACTGTCCGGAGTGTAAACAAAATATACCTTATTGCATTATAACGGTATAATATTGTTGCTTGATATTTAATTTAAAGTTAGAAAGTTTATAGTATCCATATATTGAGCCCAATGTATTATAAATTGGATATAATTTAGGGTCGTCATATGGTAAAAGAAGATTGGTGCGTTTGTCCAAATTGCTCTTTTCCTGCCTTGTGTACAGAATTTAAAAGGTTATTAGATTATTTAATATTACTAAACGTCTGCGATTTCATAGGTTTTTTTGTTTGTTTTGTTTTTTGTGCTGTAAAACGATTAAAAACAATGCATATAACAAACAAGATACCGAAATATAAAGTATCGAAAATTCAGATTTTCTTTATAGAAGTTAAGATTAGTTTTTATTTCACTTTAGTTTTTAATTATTAAAATTTTGTTATAATTTACTTTAGTTTCTAATTATTGATATGTTGTTACAGTTTACTTAGTGGTGGATATATTTATTGATATGTTGTTACAATTTATTAGTGGTGATGATATTTATTGATATATTGTTACAGCTTACTTAGTGGTGATGATACGAAATGCCCTATGTGCGCAGAGCACGTTATGATAAACAGTTTGAAAGCAGATCCGACGTTGTATCTCAAAGATAATTACGATCCTACGTGGTGATGTTAACGTGAGAATGGTTAATCACTGTTTACATTCTTTTTATAATATGAGGGCAAAAAATATTTTTTAAATGTTTATTGTGTCAATATTAATCCCATTGTACATTTTTTATCCAGCCATAATAATTTATCGAACAAAAGATGTAATTACTATTACTAATTTATTGTAAAAATTTTTAAAAAAATATTTTTTATTACAGTCTAAATAATCCAATTAACTTAATTGTTTTTATTTACTGTGTAAAAGATCAAAATAATTTAAAATTGATTTTAATCTTTCTAATAATAAAAGGAAGTGCGAAGTCTTTGAAATTTTGTATAATAGTAGTTCAAACCCCAATATGCCACCGCTAGTTCTAAAATTAACCAGTGTTAGGTAAAATAATTTAGGCTCTGGCCCATAAAAAGGCCTCCAAAAACAAAAATAGCCCCGGGCCCCAAAAAGTCTTAATCCGCCACTGCCCGCCCCTAACCTTATTAAGTACTTAAAATACAAATACTGGAACAAAAAAGCATTTTAAATAAAAATACAAATACTTCAAGAGTATTTAAACTAAAAATATTTTTTAAAAGTCTTTTAAATACTAAATACAAAATACTTTACTACTTTTAAAACTTGCAACTAAAAAATAAGCCATTTTTAAAATTCATTTTTACGCACTTTCATTGCTCAAAAGTAGTTATTAGTCATTTATTCTACATTTATGTTTAAATATCATTCATTCAGTCATTCACATTTGTTTTTAGCAGCAGCAGTCGTTCAAACATTATACCACTTAGACAATTACGCCTAGGTGTTTGTATTTGTCCCGCAGTGCTAACTAGTCGTTCAACTGGAGCCGACGGTGGTACAGTGGTATTGAATTTGACAAACAATGAATGAATAGTCTTATACTTATTCAGTGCATTCAAACTTGTATCTTTATCATTCAGATACAACATGCATTCTTGCTGAGTGGCATCATTATGTACAACAAAATTTTCAGTTGTGCTGTCAGTGTTCATATTGAAATTGATCGCTGTCAACGGTTCACAGGCAGCTAGTATGGCATTTTCAAATATTTCTCTGCAGATAACTTGTTTATTTATTGGCATCCACCGTAACTTGAACAATGGATACGAAACTGCTGCAACAACCCTGTATGAGTTACTCACATCAAATCTCAGCTCTTTTTCAAAACGAATTTTCATGCTTGCTAACAATGCTGCAGCAAATAATTTACCATATTTTAACTGGAAAATTTGAAACGCTTCCAATTTCAACTGTAAGCTATGCAAATGTGAAAACACAAGGCCATAATACACATTATTCCCTTGCAAAGTATCCGATGTTGTAGCAACAGGTTTTATGACTAAGGCATATTCTTGCAAGCATTTTAATTCTTGCTTTTTAAACTTTGGCGCATTCAAAGCATTACATATATCATTAAGTTTGTCACATAATTCTATTAATCGCTTGATAGCATGGCACTGAGAATTCCAACGTTTTGCCACGGGGCAGAGTATTGCTTTGCTTGAAATATTTGACACAGCACTTGATGTTTTACTCATTCGCCGAGTTGCATTCCATATTGAAGTGCATTTTGCCAGTCCTTCACTGTAGGTTCGTATAAATGTACTGTCTGTATCACATACCTTCTTAGCATCATTAGTTGCCGATAGATTCAGTGAATGTCTGCTACATGTTTTATGGACTTATCGTCATCATTATCATTATGTTCTGGTGAAACTGAAAGAATGTCTCCAATGTTAATTACATCAATTTCATACTCATTAACTCTTCTTCCATGTCCTCTTGCTCTTCAAAAGTATTAGGTGTGATAGTCACAATTACATTAGTTGCTGCTGCACTTGTAGTTGACTCTGAATGCTTTTTCAAAACTTGACGCATAGTTGGTAACTGTTGCTAAGATTTCTACGTTAAGGTCATATTGACAATGATATTTAGAAATGATTGCAGCAATTGTATGATATTTGTGACTACCATAAAATCGACGTCAAGCAAGGGATACAGATGCTCGTGAAACCGAATTAGAATCATCTAGTGGTATTTCAATATAATGCGCAAAGAAAACTTTTTATATTGACTGACCAGATATCAGCAGAGCAAACAAATAATGCTTTTTTCGGTTTGCATATTTTTTCATGCATCCTAGAAAGCTTTGAACTAAAACGTTTTTTAAAAGTCTTGCGACACATGATACTTACGTTAGGATTAAACCTCGAAACAGTCGACGAAAAGCCGGTTTTTTAACCGTAGCCAAAGGACGCATCTCTTCAGTAATATAAACCGTAATTAAGTTTTCAACTCCTTCTTGCGATATAATACGACGTTGTGGTGAAAATTTCGAAGCTGTTTCATGGTACGTAATTTGTTAATTTTGTAAATTTAAATTTTATCTGAACATCTGCTTTATGTGCCTTATAGTCTCCACATTACGTACACATAATAAGTATAATAAGTATAATTTTGTTACTTTTTTTTATCTGGCAACGATTTTGAAAAAGGTACCATCTACAATGGCTGGTAAAATTTCATTATTTTTATCAGTCATTTCGTTTTCGCGGCTCACGGCAGCCATCGTTAAATTAAAATTGTTGATTCCCGCAAAATAACTTAATAAATACCCTAATGGAACCAAAGTAGATAAACCATGGTAAGTAAATAAAATAAGAAATAATTCAAAATAAATAGTGGCAGAGTGACACTATGACATAACAGTTAGTTAAGTTGTTCGTGTGCGATATTTTAAGCGGTATTTGAATGACAGGTATTTTTAATTAGTACAAAATGCAAAACACTAATCAAAAATATTTTAAGTGCAAATACTAAATACTTTCAACAAAAGTATTTAAAATATAAATACAAAGAAATTATTTAAAATAGTACTTTAAATCCTTAGTATTTCAAATACTCCCAGCACTGCAATTATCTTTTTTTCGCGCCCAACAGCCAGGTTTGTCAAGGTTTGTGTTTCGGAGTGAAAAGGTTGAGAAAATGATGTAACAACATTTTTAAAAAAGTACATATGGTCATTTACGCAATTATAGTTCAACCATGCTCTTGAACCTTGGGTGTGTCAGAATTAAAGTTTTTTTCACTACTAGAAATATAATTTTAACTGTTTATTGCATTTATGTAGCTCAACCTGTTCTAGTGGATTACGTTAAGCACCTGTGTAGGGCAAGTTAAGAAAAGAACATTAAGTAACTGTTTAACAGCCATATGCTGTTCATTTTTTTATCATTCCAAATCTCTGCCTTTTAACTATTAAATGTTTTCGTAAACAACGCATAGTTTTCGAATGTTGCCCACCTTAACTCTATGCTCAATTAGCCCCGCCCAACCCTAACCAATTTTTAATTAGAAAAATATATTTTTGTTTCTTGTTTCTTATATGTTTCTTATACGTTGATACTCTCTTTTAACCCTAACTTGATATAATATGCAGTTCATTAGGAAAAATAAAAAAATATTCTTGCAAACCCTTCACATAACTAGTTATTTGTAATTATGTGGGATGTTAAAACTAAATTTCTAATGGTAGATCACGATCATTTACGCAATTTTAGTTTAACCAATCTCTTGCAATTAGATAAAAATAAATTAACTATCATTATTTTAGATGTTATCATCATTATTACCACCATTATTTTTATTGTTATTATTATTATCATCATTACTATTTTTACAATTATTATTTCATCTAAAAAAATGTAACCCTTTAAGAGAATGTTAAAAGTGTGACATTTTAATATTTATCGTTGTTTTTAAATACCATACTTTAAAAAATGTTCTTCTTTCCTCCAACAATATAACAATTTTAATTTAGTGTTCTTTTGCTCTAATTAACAATTTAGTGCATTTTTTTTTAATGTTATTATTATTATTATCATTGTTTTTATTGTTGTTATTATTATTATCATTACTATTTTTATAATTATTACTAGTTATATGCATAAAGTTTATGTATTTTTGGTGATTAGTAGAATTTCTATTTGTAAATATCCATAAAAAATATTTTTTCAGAATATATATGGTTAATTTATTATAATTGTGAAAAATGTAAATTAGTTTACTTTCATCTATGGCTAATACTCTTATAATATCAATTTATATTAATTAAATAAGGCATTATGGGCATTGGTAAAATGAGACATTTTTTAACAGGGTATATGCGAAAATAAGGCTAGGGGCGGGCAGTGGCGGATTAAGACTATTTGGGGCCCGGGGCTATTTTTGTTTCTGGAGACCTTTTTATGGGCCAAAGCCTAAAAATGACTTAAAAAAAAGGTCCTCTTAAATTTTTTATGGCCCCTAAATTTGCGGGGCCCGGAACTATAGCCCCCTTGATCCGGCACTGGGGACAGGGGCTTCAGTACATTCATCGACTGATTTTAGGGGAACATGCAAAAAAAATGCTGCTACATCGTTGTCAGTTTAAATAGGGGCAGCAATAAACTTAGGGTTACGGCTAGAAGAACTTTAACGCACTTTATTCCCGCATTAAACATCCATAAAGTACGTACGTAGGTGTAGGGGGAGAGAGGGTTTCCTAAAAGCGTGCGAACGCGTAAAAGGAGAAGGAAGTAGGGGTGTTAAAGACAGCAAGTACGCGGTTTGGCTATCTCTTCTAAACATAATTTTATTTTTGTAAAACATTTAATTTCACGTGTGCAACAAACCACAACTGTTTTTTTTTCTAACCTCGGTTACAATTTTTTGTTTAACTTTTTTATAAATAATGAAAAAATAAATCCAATTAATTATGAAAAATTAAAAATAAGGGGGTGGGGTTCAAAAACGTACAGGTTCGTACAAGGGGCGAGAGGAGGTCCTTAATCTGTGGTTTTACTGCGTACGTACTTTGTGGATGCCCCCTAACGTAACTGGAATACTAAACAACTAGACTACACACCATTAAAACCTGGAAAGAAACTTACTTCATTTCCTTGATAATCATGTCAAATAGGAGAAGAAAAATGTACTTATAATTGTGGCTTGGAACTATGGAGCAAGTGTCAATCTATTCAAACTAGTCCACAACCAAAACAATTTTTGAACTAATATGCAATATTAAATTTTATTAGAAAACCTTTGTCAACTATGTTAAAGAGGAAGTAAACACAGAAAAAAAATTGGTTTCTAATTTTTCTTGTTACTCATAAAAATTTAAAGCAAAGGAAATATTATGGATTAAAATAAATTTTAATTTTCCTATTACTCATGATTTATTCTTTTTAATTTTTAGTATGTATATATTCATATCAGATGGGAAAAATAAAACTTTTTGTGACGCTTTCATTACTATCTAATATTTATTATCTATAAGCAAACCTGTTACTTAAAAAAGTAATAAATAAAGCAGTAGGCAACCCAATTTTTCATTTTCCCTTATTTTTGTATCCTTACGACCTTATTAAGCAAAAAATACAATTACAGCTACAAAAATTATCAAAAGCTAAATAAATTAGAATTTTTTTTTCAACAACAGTAAAAATGGTTCCTCTAGTAGCCTCACTTTGAAGCCCCATCAATCAGCCTAATGAAAAGATAATTGCTCCATTCCTTTTTCTACTGAAAACCTTTTGAATACTCTATGTCCTTATACAGTTTTAAAATTTGTAATACTCTTTGCATTATTTTGATAGAAACTGACAGTGCTAAAAATAGTGTATAAAGTTTTATTTCTAGTTGGTACGTTTGAGTCTCAAATAGGAACTAAACGTTTTGAACAAAAACCCCAAAAATGGTTCTATTTTAACAAGAACAAATAAGATCTATGAAAAATCACATTTATATTATTAAATGGAACATTGATAGGTATTTACCCATCATTTTATTCAACCGGCATATTTTTTATGTTGTAGAGATCATCAAAATTTAAATCTAATTTTCTCTCTAGGAAGGTGTGACCAGATTTTAATTTTTATGCCAAATAAACCGTGAGTGTCTCTAGATTACTAGGTATATTGTAATTTTTTTGGTCCTTAATTTGAGAATTGGGGCCAAAATTGGAAAACTGTGATAAATGTGCAGCTTCAGTGATATATAGTATATCTTCAGTAAAAGATATACTATATACCACTTTACTATACAGGTTTAAGTGGCTGGATAGGTCAGTTGGTTAGAGCGTCGAACAAAAAGTTAAAAACCGGACTGTCCTGCCACCGCCAAGTCAGCGCTTGAGTAGTACTTCGGTACGCAAAAATGTTGGTCAATAGCGGACGCTACTTTTAACTAGTCTTAATGACTATTTGTGGCTGTTACAATGCTAAGCCAACAATATCTTTGGATATAAGAACATTGTATAGAAAAATGTAGCATGAAAATTCAAATAATAATGATAAAAAAAGATATACTATTTGCAGCTGTGGGAAAAAAAAAAAATCTTGTCAAATCTATTTTTAAACCCATTAACCGACGGAACCATTTTGCATGTAATCCACCAGTTTTTACAATAATTGACGCAACTATGTGTGTAGAAACTATGATGAGCATGTATCAAACATGATTGTAAAATTATGACGAGCATTTATCAACCACGGATTGTGTGTGTACGTTTGTGTATGTGGACGCGTGTGGGTAATTCTAGAATATTCTTTAGTTTTTTAAAAAAAATTCTTATATTTTAATTATTTAAAACTAACTTTTTTTCTAGAAATTATTTAAAAATCTTATTTCAGAAAAAAACTAAACTTTTAAACTAAAATAAATAAATTTTAAGAGTTAGATGAACATTTTGTGTTTTGACAACACCAGTATAATTGTTAGTTGCATCTTAACATACTCTAGTATAATTTTAATTTTAAAGTTTTTCTTTCTTTTCCAACTATGAATTTTTTAAACTTGAAAAGTTTTACCTCTTTGCATACCTCCTAAATTATGAGACCTCATTACTATTAAGCAAAGATGAACTATGAAGTGTCATTTAATAGAGACCAATTTAAAAATGAATTATGTTATGTCATTTAATAACAATAATAAGAGTTAAGTTTATTGCATATAAACTTTTAATTGGCAAAAGCTCCCTCACCACGACCGTTCGGAAGAGAAATTAATACAGGAGGGGAAGAGCGTGGGAGGGGATCGACGTACTGTTTTTTGCATAAATAAAAAGATAATTGTTTTTTTTATATTTGTCGAATAGAAGTTGCAAATTTCGGAAAAATTTTTAAATAAGGTTTTAGTAGGAGGTTATGCTTACTCCTATCCCCCCCCCTCACTTACACGTGTTGGCCCTGATAAATTCTGACTCATTTATGGTAAATTTATTACTCTGCAGTAAAAAGTTTCAAAAACCCCGTTTTTGAAACTTTTTTTATTTGTTTTTGTATTTTCAATGTTATTTTGAAGCGTACCTAATTATTCTGCTGCAAACCCTTGTTAAATATCGCGAGGTTAGAATTATTTTGTTCTATCTTCACGTTTTTGAGTTTTGAGAGAAAACGCTTTGAAAACTAAAAACTTTAGAAGACGGCATATCAAAAGATTTTTATTACTTACGTTTTCTTTGCATCTTTTTTGACTACAACTTAGGTTTCAATATAGAAGAAAAACATTATGTTGAGGTACATAACTCAAAGTTTTCAAAAAGTGGATATTTTCAAAAATGGCAAAAACAAAAAAATTCTAACCTCGCAATATACTTACTTTTTCGGACCACAAGAGGCTATAAACAAATCAATTTTGAAAATTTTTATTAAAATTTGTTTACCTGTCTAGTAATCTGTCTGTCTAGTAATTTATGATGGTAAAATAATATATATTATTGTTTCTTTATTCTAGCTATTTATTCAACCATAAAATTTAAAATTACAAATTTAATTATAATTTACAAAATTAGGTTCGGTGTCACTCATAGAGTTAAAAACTAATTAATGGAGTGACACTTTTTTATACTTTCTTTGTCTATATATATATATATATATATATATATATATATATATATATATATATATATATATATATATATATATATATATATATATATATATATATATATATATATATATATATATATATATATATATATATATATATATATATATATATATATATATATATAAATAAATAAATATGTATATATTTATATATATATATATATATATATATACTATATATATATATATATATATATATATATATATATATATATATATATATATATATATGTATATATATATATATATTTATATATATATATATATATATATATATATATATATATATATATATATATATATATATATATATATATATATATATATATATATATATATATATATATATATATATATATATAGACAAAGAAAGTATAAAAAAGTAAACTATAATAGAATAAGTAGTAAAAAAAAATTTATGAACAATGATATTAAAATCAAAATCAGTTCAAAAAAATTAAAGGAGTAAGGCTAACAAAAATGAAAAAGAGAGAATAAACAGGTGAGATAAAATGACTCAGAAAATATGTAAAAAAAAACACAAATTAAATAACATAAGTTCACAAGGATAGGAACGAAGTTCACACGTAGAAAAATATAAATAAGCAAAGTAAATGCAAATCTACATAAAAAATATACATACACGACTACATACAATATTATTAGGTTATGTAATTCATTTTTTAGTTGCTTGGAATTACATTGTTGTTGTTGCTGTTGAAGATGTTATTGTTGTTGGTGTTGTTGTTGTCATATTGTGACTTCATGAACACTTTATAAGGTTGCAGCTTGAATGCAATATTATAATCACTTATAAATTAGTTATTACATTAATTAATATAAAATAATTATTGTATATACTGTGTTCAATTTAGTAAATAAGAAAAGCATGGGTCAAACATGTTGTGGAATAGCAACAGATAAAGTTTCAGTTAATGGTATTTCATATACGGTTGTCAAAGATATAGGCGAAGGAGGTACATTATTGTTTACAATAAAATTCATTATTAAATTCATGTAAATATAACTCCATACTTATATAAAATATAAGAAATATAAGTAAACGTTGATAAAGTTTAAATTTATCAATGATAAAACCTTGATAAAGTTTTCTACTATAATTATAGTTATAAAATGTAATGTACGGCTAACAAAAATGACAATTTTTTTTTACATTTTTATTTCCTTGTATTTAAATATGTTGGACTTTTAACTTATTATACTTTTTAATAATTTTGGAATTTATAACTTAAGTATGTATGGATTATTACCATTGCTACTACATCCTTTTTTGACACCCAGAGAATCCACTTTTTGCTGAACTGCCTCATTTGTTACCACATTAATCCAATACCATTTAAAATTTTTGGTAATTCATTTTTCAAACTCCAGAATTTTACCATTATTTTTTACAAAAATCATTTGAAAATTTTTGTTTAATATATTATTTCATGGTTGCAGCTGTGAGTACATTTCCATAGTTTTTCATTGATTGTATTTTACTGATCTTTTTTTTGGTTTTCTTTTGGATATTTGTAAAGTAATCTTGGATTTTATTTTACACTATTTGCAAACTGTTTTTCATAATCAATAGTAGATTTTTTTGACTTAGGGGAAAGCAGGTAGGATTCATACACTTTTTACACTCGTATAAAAGCAAAAATAATTGCTATTTTAAAATAATTTTAATGCTGCTGAGTAACCTAAATATCTGGCTTTAATAATATTGTAGTTTAGTCTTGAAAAAAGCTAACAAGACAGTACTATGATGTCTTTTGCAAAAAAGTGGAGATCGTATGAATGCACCCCAAACGCGGGGTAGCTTTGTTCAGTTTTTTGTTCGGTACTTTATTACTAAGTTAAAAATATATTTATTGAAAATAAACATTTATTAAGTTTAAAATTGAAACAAAATAAATTTTAAACATAATAAAAATAAAATTGTATATCCTATATGCATAGAATACATATTTTCTCAAAAGCTTTTCTAATTTCTCCTAGAAATCAGTTACGGCTGTCTGTTTAAATGCGAAATAAAGGCTGCGTAGGTTTTTTCATACGTATTTACAGTACGAATCCTTCCCACTTATTACTGTACGGTTGTACCCCAACCATATCAACTAACATATAAATTCAAAATAAAAATAACGGATAAGGTTATTAGAAAACTATTGATTAGATATTAATATAAGACACTTATACAAAAAGCATAATAAATTATTTCATTAATTGGATCAAAAATTATTGCAAATAAATGTTTTCAAAGATTATTTGTAAAATTACTTTAGCAGTGCAAAAACACGTATCGACTTGTTCCAATGATAATTAGGATAGCACTACCATGGCACTAAGCTGTTAGCCTTTGTGCATGAGTGGTCTTCACACACACATAAATATAAATGTGTCAAAACAAAGAGTGGTCTAGATATGCGTACTGTACGAATGCTTCCGCTGTATGAATCCTACCTGCTCCCCCCTATTTGTGACTAAATATTTTACTGTTTTGTACTCATTTAATTCAGATATTTGAATTTACACGCTCTTAACTGAATCAATAAATTTTTCTTTTTATGTATTAAAGCTTTAACTTTGTCTGTTATGCATAAGTCTTTTTTAACTTTTTAATCATATTTGGTGTCTTTTTTTGGTATATTCAGTTTACTCAATCGTTATATTTTTGTACAAAAGCACTGTAACAATAATCCACTTTTAAATCTTTGAATAATTTATACTCATTTGTTAAAATCAAAATTTATTTTTGTATTTTCTCCATTTCGGTAATTTATATAATTACTATTGAATTATATATTGATTGTGTCAATACCTTGAATGTCATTTTTGATTTGGATTACAATAGGTGCAACATTGACCCAAGCAGTGGTATTTCAACGCTTGGATCAATGATTGACTGTCAGATATTTGAAATGTTGGTACAAACATACATTGTTCAATATTTATTTTGTTTAAATTGTCAATAAATTTTATTCTAATATCACAATTTTTTTTCAGTTTGTTCTGCTGTCTTTATCCCATTCTATGTGTGGATAATTAAAACTACCAGTTATAGTTAATCCAGTGTATTTTGTACCCATCAATATTCAGATATGATTTATCTTTAAACCATGCTTCACTCACTGATATAACATATGGTTTACACAGAAAAGTGCTCTTTACGCTGCTGCATTTTATTATTAAGTGAAGTTGCGTTGGTGTACTGAAGTTTGGTGTGTTTTTTGAATGGGTTATTATTTAGCTTCTTTCCAGGCTAGGTAGCAATTTTGATAAATGATGTGTTGGGTCATTTATTAACATTTTGAGAAGCCATTAGACAAATCATCTGATGCATTCCCAAGTGAATTCCCAAGTATACCATCTTAGATTCCTGATAGTGCACCAACTAAGGGATCAGCCAATCTTTTAGTTGACAATTTTAAAAATAATTTGATTTATTAATTTATTATTAAATTGTTAAACCATTTGAATTTTCATTTTCATTTTCTAAATTAATTGATGCATGTTTCATTGAACCATTTAATGTGCCATTTGAATTAAATGTACTTGTTTTTGTCTTATTATTGTTTTTTATTTTTAAATCTTTAATATTGCTTAAAATATTTTAGTAATATTGTTGTTTCCAATCTTATTATGATAGTCATTTATTTTCTGATTTCTAAATTTTTGTTGAGTCATTTTCTTTCTTCAATCATTTGTTTTTAGAACTCTCATTGTTTGATTGTTAAATCAAAATTGGCATGAATATTTCTATAATTTTCAATGTTTCCTAGTTTTTTTGCTAAATTAATTACCCTAGAATGTCTTTAATAAACAAATTTCTATGAGTTTTGTTTACTAAAAAAATAAAGAATGCCATCAGTTTTGAGTTATTACAATTAGTATTTGTTACTTACTTTGTTAAAAACTTTTTGAAATACTATTATTTAAATAATTGATCAAAGAAAAATTATCCATATTAAATTATATATTAAAATATATGTATTCATTAAAATTAAATAAATGTGTTAATTATAATTATATATATTAAAAAGTTGTTAAGTTTTTTTTTATTGTTATGAAAAATTATTCATTTTTATTTTTAAATAATTTAGCTTTTTCATTTGTGCAATTGGTGAAAAATCGCTCAGAAAAGTATGCATTGGTAAATGTTAAAATAAAAATTATTATTAATATATATATATATATATATATATATATATATATATATATATATATATATATATATATATATATATATATATATATATATATATATATATATTATACTCATTCCATATGTAAGGACGCAATTTCCTAATACCATTTTAGCGCTTTTAATGTAAAAATGTGTGCTTTAATTTTTCAGAAAAAGAAAAAAAAACAACAAAGAATAATGAAAAAAAAGATTGCTGCACCATGTCAAACCCTCAGTCAATGTAGCAGCACTCCTTTGCGGCAGCAGGCTATAAGATAGTCAATGTACTGAAGCCCCTGCAACTTCCTGTTTTTTTTTGATGTCATTCATCTGCTTCTAATGCTGCATTTATACATGTATATATATATATATATATATATGCATTTATATACATGTATATATATATATATATACATATATATATATATATATATATATATATATATATATATATATTATGTATATATATATATGTATGTATATATATATATGTATATATATATATATGTATGTATATATATATATATATATATATATATATTATTGCATTTATATACATGTATATATATATATATATATATATATATATATATATATATATATATATATATATATATATATATATAGCCCCTGCAACTTCCTGTTTTTTTTTGATGTCATTCATCTGCTTCTAATGCTGCATTTATACATGTATATATATATATATATATATATGCATTTATATACATGTATATATATATATATACATATATATATATATATATATATATATATATATATATATATATATATATATATATATATATATATATATATATGTATATATATATATATATATATATGTATATATATATATATATGTATATATATGTATATATATATATATATGTATATATATATATATATATATATATATATATATATATATATATATTATATATATATATATATATATATATATATATATATATATATATATATGTATGTATATATTTATTTATTTATTTGAATATAGACATCATGTATGAGATTATGTAAATTATTATTTTATAAACATCAATAAATACGAACGTCTCTTGACACTTCAAGTTGTAAAATGTCAACTTAAATACAAATTTTTTTAATAAATGAAGAATAAAATTCCTTTATACTTAAAGAGCACCTTTAAGTAAGATGGAGCTCTCAGTCCATGCATGTACTGACCCCCACTCATGGTTGTTTTAGTATGGCATTATCAATTACATATTATGAAAGGCAAAGTATGCAAAGATATCTGTATTTATTTCAGGGTGAGCCAGATGCCCTTATGACTCAGTTGCACTTAAGTGCTTAGATAAGCTTAATTTATCTTAAAAATAAAATTGGGCAATATTTAGTGGTAGCAGATTTAAATTAAAGTATCAAGATCAACAAATTTTTTTCAAATTGTCTATATGAGCCTACTAGTTTAAAAAGAAAAAACCTTTTGTCAAGACAGGAGAATAAAGTTGAATTGTTAGCAAATAGAGCAACTTTAGGTGTAAGATTGTTTAGAAAGATCATTAATGTTGATAAGAAACAAAACAGGACTATGGATAGAACTTTGAGGTACCCCAGAAGTTACTGGAAATGAAGAAGAGTGTTGGCCTTTGAGGATCACTATGATAAAGTGCTTAAAAATAATTTGATAATCTCAAAAACTTTTCCAGATGCACCATATGAAGCAAGCTTATGGAGAGACATGCAAACTTTATTGAAAGCTTCAGATATGTCAAGAGCAATAGCCCTGGCTTCACTGCCTCCATCAAATGCATGATAAAATCTTTCAGTCACAGCAGTTAGCAAGACAGCTGTAGAGCGAGTAGATAGAAAACTGTATTCAGTAAGTTATTTAACTTGATGGGATGTTAAAAGTTTGTTGATTAAAAAACTTGGTAATAACAGAAAAAAGGCTAATTGTACACTAGTCAGAATGTTCTCCAGAGATTTAAAACCACAGACTCTTATGCTAATCGTACAGAACCACAGATTCTTATACTAATCGTACAGAACCACAGATTCTTATACTAATCGTACAGAACCACAGATTCTTATACTAATCGTACACAACCACAGATTCTTATACTAATCGTACAGAAAATATGTAAAAGTATTTTGTTTATTAAAAAAGTTAAAATCCGATCAATAGTTTAACTCAATTTTTTAGTGTTTTTGTTTATTTTTTCTCAATTTTTCTTGATGTTTGTTTTCATTTTTTAAAGATATATATGAACATTGAAATGTGTATATATTTTTAGTGGTTATTAAGGTGCTCCCAATAGTCTTAGGCAAGAAGTGCTTACAGAGAACCAAGGAAGAGCATTTAACTAGTTCATGCCTCTTTCCTTCCAATATTGCTTATTGGGCTATGTGCCTGTGTTGAACCTCGAACTTTTTAGTTCTGAGCTAACCACTGCACCAGGGCTGCACTGGCTGCACTATTGACAACTTAAGTTGGTAAAAGTAGCAAAAAAAAAAACAAAAAACTCAATATGTTTTATGCTAAAAACTGTCCCTATTGAAACTTGAAAAAGATGATAATAATCTAGAGTGCCACATTTTTTTGTCACCTATTTTTTTAGGTGTTTTTAAGTTTTCTTGCACATTTTTCCACAAAAGCGGGTCATACAAATAAAACAATTTACTCAGTTATAAATTTTATAATCAAGCAAATACACAAACAATCAAACCAAATAAATGGGCAGAAGAAATTCTTTAAAGAGAAAAAAGTAAAATTGTTGCTCTTGTATTTTTTTATTTTAAATCATTTAGGAGCAAAATAAAGTGTTTGCAGACAATTGCTACCAAGATAAAAATCTCCTAAAAACCTTTAAATGTTGGTATTGGTTTATTGGGATAGCAAGTTAATGGGTTCACTTGACAACAAACATTTTATGAAAGAGTTCTTTTACAAGTTTAAACTTAATGTGATATTTGGAACTATAAATGAATAATTTACATATGTACATATTATTAAGTTATTTTATTATTGAGTATTTATCTTGAGTAATATTTTTCTTAGGATGGTTGGGTGGAACATATATTGGTATCCTAGTGTTGCCATATAAGTCAATCTAAAAGATACAACCAATTATTGCTAAGGCTACATTTTAACTACTAAAAGATTCGAACTGTACTGATTGTGTAATAGGCATGGTTTTTTAACTTGACAGCATCAAACACTGGTGCTACAACTGCAGACTGTGTTTCAATACAAAGTATAATTAGCAATCCACTTCTTTGGCTTTCTTACTTACATCACATAGAAGAAATGATATTAACTTGCACATGAAACAGTTTGGAGTATTCAAATGGTCCTGATATCAATCTATTTGTAAGGTAATGTAACATTGGTATTTGGTTTATATGCAGTACAATTCATGTAGTTTTAGTAAAAAGGGATAGAGAATACATTACTGTATCTAAGTAATGGGTTAAGTGTGGTGTTTTCTGGTTTTACTAGACCAGGCGCTTTGTTCAAGGCAAGGTGAATGTCAAAACTATTACACTCTATATAATTTATACTGTTGAACAGGAAAATCAGCCAGCTACCCAAAAGAGCAGTTTTTGATGAACAACTTTCTAAGCAACCAATATTATTCATTAATATCAATCAATATTGATCATTATTATTATTATTCATATTCAATATTAATCATTAATATGGCAACCAATAATATTCAGTTTGTTGTACTATATTACATTCCATGGTAGCTGAGTGTATCTATTTTTTCAGCAGCTTCTGCTAATAATTTGAATCTGATCAAAGCTTTCAAAAATATAACATCTCACTGAGTTGTCTCCACTGTCACTTTTTAATAATAATAAGCTTGAGGAAAGAGGCAAAAGATTGCTGAAATGTGTCAGTGAATGAATTAACTCAAAAAGTTTGGGATTTGAATAATCTATATTTCTAATGTTTTCTTTAATGATTCAACTAATTTTATTGGCTCCTTTATTTTATTGCTGAAGGCTCCCTTATTTTATTGTTGAAAGCTCCCTTATTTTATTGTTGAAGGCTCCCTTATTTTATTGTTGAAGGCTCCCTTATTTTATTGTTGAAAGCTCCCTTATTTTATTGTTGAAAGCTCTCTAATTTTATTTTTGAAGGCTCCCTTATTTTATTGTTAAAAGCTCCCTATGACTACTATGACTACTATGCTACTATGACTACGCTATGCTTCATTTACGTTAAGAAAGGTCTTTATATAGAATCAATTACGAAAATTAAAATACTGCATATGAATACTCACACTTCCTTAGTAAAAATTTTACGTAGTTAATGAACTATTACGCAGTTAGTTAATTCAAAACTTGAGTTATTTTACCAATTTTATTGTTGAAAGCTCCCTTAAGTTAATGTTGAAGGCTCCCTTATTTTTTTACTATATTAAATGTAAGCACTAGTTATCTCAAAGAATTTAATATAAAGAAAAAAAACACCAGATGGTACATTAAATTCTGAATAGATTTGTTATTACTTCTTTTATTAATTTAAAAAAGATAGAGTTAAATTCATTATATTGTATTCATATTTATATGTTAGTAAAAATCACCTATTTGTTGTTGATATTTTTAGAGATGCTTTGCACTTTATATTCTAATTTTTGGAGTTCATAAATATGCACATTTAAGTTTCAATTTATCATAACTTGTATTTAGAATGGGTTACAATATATTCTAGATTATCCAGAAAATATAATAAGCAGGCTCAAGCCAGTTTCTTTAGTAGATGTTGTCTTCAAATTAAAAAAAGTATTTGAGTACAACACTTCACCAAAATCTAAGGGTCTAATAGAAAAAAAAAAGAAATCTTGAGTCTTTTAAGATTAGTGGCTGCATCTTCCCTTTTCCTACCTCTTGCAAAACAATAACATGGTTCTTAAGTTCATTTATTCGACTACTTGTATATCAAATTAGTAACAGTAACAGTAATAGTAATATAGATGCTGAAGCAATTTAAATTGCAAAACATATATGATTATATATGACAGCCTACATTTTATCAAAATTATATAAAAAAAAAAATAGAGTTAAATAAATTTCACAAAATTTATAACAATCTATCAAGTCTTGGTCTAAAAGAGTTCAAAGACTGTGTATTTAGCGCATGGATTGGTAATGCATTCCAGAAGAGCGCTTGTCAAGACAAAGAATGCTTGACATTTTTTTTTCAATTCTTAAATTATAACCTCTTATTGCTGATGCTGATCTGTTTGCTTGTAATGATGGTGCAAGTTGTTGTGGTTTAAAATAAAAGGAATAAAAATGTGTTTTAAATACATTTTAATTTATAAACTTCTATGCTTCAAATTTTAAAAAGTTGTGCTTAAATGGAGAACTTTGATTTAAGTTTCCTACCACTATACATTGTCTGATTTTGCCAAGTTTTTTGTTAAAAGGAACCTTCGTACAAGAAAAAAAGTCATTTTTATTTACTAAAAATTTAAGAACTGTGGGGCAGCTGGATCCCAATAATATTTATACACATATTTCTAGTATAAATCAATATTAATAGAGTTGATTTAATAAAAAATTATATATTTGAGCAGTATATTTGTAACACTATTCTTCTCAGTATTTAATGATGCAATAAATAATAAAGTTTAATTGTATTTTAAGGAGGCAAATTCAAAACTATTGTTTCTTAAATAAACAATCAATGAATATTTTTTGTTTATACTAACATGAATGAATGAGTGTTTTATGTTTATACTAATGTGAATGAATGAATGTTTTTTTGTTTATACTAATATAAAAAACTTGCTATGCTATTCTTTAAAAGATATTCTGAATATTTTTTGTTTAATTTTCTTTGATTTTAATTTTTATAAGATTAGTCAGTTAACTTAGACCAATGAACATTCATTAGGGATTGTCCACAAAGTATGTACACTTGGATGGCGGATTAGGGTGGTGATATGAGATTAGGGGGTGGGTGGTCAATTATAACAGTAAGGAGACACTAAATTAAAAAAAATATCATAACATATTGGGTAGGTAGGTTAAAAGCATAGGTACTTTTAGGGAGGCAGAGAGTATTTGAAAAAGTGCATAGCAAAATGCAGGGAGGAGGGGGGGGGTTGAGGAAGGGTCAAGATAAAAGCATACATACTTTATGGACGACTACTTATGGGAGGATTTCTCTACTGCTATTTTTTATGCTGATATTTTTAATTCTAAAATGATTAAGACAATTTTATAAGTACTATATAAAAACTTTTAATTTGACCAAATAGAAAAAAAAATCTTATCAAGTTTTTAAATATTACCTGAGTCTCCAATTATTATCTTTGCTTTTAATCTTTTTAAAGTCCAAATTACTTTTTATATCAGTTAATCAGATACAAAGATTTTTATAGCTTGCTTGTAATATTAAATGTGTAGATTAAAAAATGACTTAACAGTATTTACAATAATTTATTAACAGTATTTTCAACAATTTAATAACAGTATTTACAACAATTTATTAACAATATTTACAACAATTTATTAACAGTATTTACAACAATTTATTAACAGAATTTACAACAATTTATTAACAGTATTTACAACAATTTATTAACAGAATTTACAACAATTTGTTAACAGTATTTACAACAATTTATCAACAATTTTGCCAATTTTAAATTAAATTTTCAAACTAAATTAGATTTGGTTTAAATTCTTGAATTCCTGGAATTGGAAAAGATTTTAAAAGATTACTACATTTGTCCAACAACATCTGTAGAGTAGTCCAAGATCATCTGTATTTTTTTCACTTCAACAACATCTGAAAAAAACCCTATATAAAACTATATCTGGTTAATATAATGCATTTATATTTAATACTATTTTCCAGATATAACTACATCTGAAAAAACCATATATGAAACTGCATCTGATTAAAATATTGCATTTGTTGTTAATATTTTTTCCAGATGTAACTTCATCTGAAAAAACCATATATGTAACTACATGTGGTTAATATCATGCATTATAATTTAATAATTTCATAAAATTCTGTAGTTACATTTAATAAAATTATACTTAGGTAATTGAAAAGATGTAACTACATCTGTAGTAATCATATACTTTTTACACAGATTTTTGTAGATATGAATGAAATTTCAGATGTTGTTGGACAGACGTTATTATATATCAGTGTATTTACGGATGTTGTTGGACAGATGTTATTAGACATAGCAAAAACGGATGTTATTATCCAAGAAGATATACTAAAACAAGTTTTAGTTTGTTTGTTTTTGCTAAAAAATAAATAATTAAAAAAAAATTTTTTTTTTAGCAAGTAAAGATAAGTCAATAATAGTTTTATATGTAAAAAAAAAAAAAATCTATTTATAAAGTTAATGAAAATAAAAAGTCAAAAAGAAAAAAAATGTATGTTATATATAATGTCAGATACTATATGATAGTATATATAACATACACAGTGCATTTTTGTACAATATATTTTAATGTATATCAGAATATTTGTTGAAACAAATTAAAATAAATTATTTTTATTTTAACATTTTATTGAATAAAAAAAATTCAAACAGTATTGTTCTTTCTATATAGAAGCGAGTTTTGCTTCAGCTTCCTGAGCACAATGAAGTATGTATTTTTTCAGTTGTTCACTTAATTATTATATCTTGTTTATCTTTTATTTTTCTATTTAACTTGTCACTAAGGTTAGGTGTAATTTATTGTAAGTTTATGTTATAAAATATTTTAAGAACATTTTACTACAAACATTTTTATTTGTTTACATTATTATTAAATTATTACTTTAAGAACATTTTTCTAATTTAACTGTTACATTATGATTATTAAAAAAAAAGTTTAATGTGTTATAGATGATCCAGAGGGAAATAAGCTCTCATAACACAATAAAGCATAAGTTTGTTATGCCATTAATAGATCATGAAATTGTACAAAAGCAAGGAAAATACGAAGCACGCTTATTATTTCCCTATTACAATGTAAGTATTATGTTTTATTCAAGCTGTGTAAAAATTTTTTCTATTACTCAAACACTTATAAATTATTTGTTATTATTAATCATTTATTTTTCTTAATTTTTCTTTTTTACTAATCATTAATTATTATTAATTGCTGGGTATTATTAATCATTCAATATTGTTAATCATTCATTATTATTATTCATTCATTATCATTAATCATTCATTAGTAGTTATTTATAATTATTAATCTACCCTTTATCTACCCTTCATCTTCTAGGGTTAACTTATACTTCTGATCTTTCTTGGAAACCATATATCAAGTTCATCGCCAAATAAGCATTGGTTAAGGTTTAGTAGCAGCTTGCATCTCTTTATTATACTTGCTGCTTTCTTACTCCAGATTCTATTCTTTATCTTTATAAATTTGAAATTTGCCCTTGTATGGAGTACTGTTGTCATATCTGGAGGCGATCTTCGAATGATTCCCTTTCTTTATTTCTGATTCATACAATATGCAATCTTTCAAGTCCTTTGTTAATCGTTATCTTGCTTTATAAACTTTATTTTTTCTCTTCCAGTAACTTTCAACTCTAATAGTGGTTGTTTGTAGCTTTGTTAAAAGTTAAGATGTTAAAAATGTCATTAATTGTTATTAATTGTTAATTATTATTAAATATTACTTATTATTAAACATGAATTACTATCAATCATTCATTATTATTAATCATTTACTGTTAATTATTGTTAACCACTCATTGTTATCATTATTATTAATCATTTATTATCATCAATCGCTAGATATTATTAATCATTCATTATTATTAAAAATCATTTTGTTCTGTGTTAATTGTCCTGTTAGTTAAAATAATAAAAAAGATGCAGCTTGATAAATTAATATAATAATTGTTTATATTTGTTGTGTATCTGGCAAGTCTAGCAATAGGTCAAAGTTTTAACAGTCAGATTTGGAACTAAGCTACGACTTTTTTTGAAGGAGTCATAATTTAAGTGTTCAATGAATTTAGATTAACCTAATAAGAACTCAATTAATTACATCTTTGTGTTTTATACCCACAGCTTTATGTGTTGCTGAATTACATTTTTCATTAGATTATATAATCTGTTCTATTTTGTCGCTATCATGCCTTTTCAGCTGAACTCATATCTCAATACTTTTGTAAAGTTATATTGTTATTATTCAAGTTATAAGTGCAAGGTTTTACCGGCATTGTAAAGCTCAAGATGTGTTAAAGTCTACAATGTGTTAAAGGATTTAATCAGTTTTTAAAATTTTTTATTTATAAAATCATAAAAGTCAAATTTAGAATAAAGATTTTTTTTTTTTGAACAGCTTGGCTCTGTGCAAGAAATGATTGATGTTTCTCTAATAACAAAAAAATCAATTGAGGAAAAGAAAATAGTTTCAATGATAAAATGTTTGTGCATGGCTGTATCAACATTTCATTCTCATAATCCGTCATACGCGCATCGAGATATTAAGGTATTAATTTGCATTGTTAATGTATTTTATTCTTTGTTCATTTTATGTTAGTTTTATTATAGTATATTAGTGTACTGTATACTTTTTATTTATTAGTTAATAATTTAATAAGACGTAAGAAATAAAGTTTATTGGTTATAAAATGTTTCAAAATCTTTTTATTATTGTAAAATTTGATTCAACTTTGAAATGTTGAACAATAAATTTACAACAAATAGTTTATTCAGTAATCGATCAAAAATTACAACAAATAATTAAATCAAATGTAAAAAGATTGATGAAGAGAGACAGCACCAGGCTTCTCTTTTTTGACAGTCTTGTGCTGCATACAAAGCTGCTATAGTTACAAAGAGGTCTTGAAACTGTTGACACTTTGTACATTAATTGCCTTTTGTAGAAGAGCATTCCAGCGATATACAATTCGATTTATAAAAAACTGTTCTTTGTTGATGCAATTTATTGAGGCACTGACTATGACCCCGAAGATTGTAAACCAATCTAGCTAATTTTTACATCTTTGGCACATAAAAATTGATTTCGTCAATTTTTAGGTGTGATTTTGAATTGTTAAATTAGGTTACCTCACGTTCTGCGGTCTTTAAGTGTTGTTAAACTCAACAATTCTTTTTTCAGCCTACCAAGTACTTAATTGGCTTTTAAAGTTGCTATTTCAACTCTTTTGATTTTTTAATTTTAAGTTGTCTAAAACCATGATGCTAAGGTCTCTTTCGATCTTGGTAACTGCAAGTTTTAATCAAAATCTGTCATCACTGCACATTGAATATTGTTTTGTTGACCATTTGGTTCCGCGGCCTATGTCCATTACCTTACATTTTGCCATGTTGAAATGTTTCTGGAAGATTGTTGATAAAAAAGACAAATAATAATGGTCCTAAAACCGATCCTTGCGAAACTCCACTTGAGATAAGTACCCAATTTGATATATACTCATTCATGACTACCCGTTATTGGTGATTTCAAACTTAATCTATACTTAATTTTGTCTAGCTTATAACAAATGCACAATTTGGTATATGTAAGAGTGGTTTTTTTACCATAATCTGTCAATATAGATACCATATATATATATATATATATATATATATATATATATATATATATATATATATATATATATATATATATATATATATATATATATATATATATATATATATATATATATATATATATATATATATATATATATATATGTATATATATATATATATATATATATATATATATATATGTATATATATATATATATATATATATATATATATATATATATACACACACACATATATATATATATATATATATATACACAATATATATATATATATACATATATATATTCACAAACTGAGAAGCATGACTATCAAAGCTGACACAAGCTATTCACCTAACCTAAATGAATAACTTTTATCAGGATGTCGTTTGCCAAATATAGTACTTATATGAAATTACGATAGAATGTTTATATATGTTTACTTTTATTGCCTTACAAAATATGTAAAATAGTATAATGGTATATAAAAATGTTTAATTTTGTAGTTGATAAAAGTTTTTAACAACCTTTACAAGTTTAGTTAAGTTTAACTGTTGCTTTGTTAAGTTTAACTGTTTAAAATTTAATTAAATTTACTGATATTAAATGCTTTTTACTTATATATATTGCTTATTTACTGATATTAAATGCTTTTTACTTATATATATTGCTTATTTACTGAGATTAAATGCTTTTTACTTATATATTTGCTTATTTACTGATATTAAATGCTTTTTACTTATATATTTGCTTATTTACTGATATTAAATGCTTTTTACTTATATATATTGCTTATTTACTGATATTAAATGCTTATATTAAACTGATTTTAAATTAAAATTTAAACAACTCTTTTCAGCCTCATAATATGTTAATAGGAGAAGGTTCTAATATCATTCTTATGGATTTGGGAAGTGTTCGTGAAGCTAATGTTAAAATAACTTCAAGGTATCGCAATTTTTCGTATTTTTTGACGGTATATATATTTTAGCAGTATGAAAACTAAATATATTAAAGTAAATGATATTTTTTTGCTCTATTTTTTAAGTTTTCCTTTTTGTTGTCTAGAAAAGAAGCAATGGAACTTCAAGAACTCTGCTCCCAAGAATGTACTGCTGCATTCCGGTAATTTTATTATGTTTTTGTGGTTGTTGTGAATATGAAAATTTTTTTTTAATACTTTGTTTGAGTTTGATTGTGTGAAAAGTGTAGTATACATCTTAGTTATGGGAACTATAGTTATAATTATAATATGACATTTAGTGAAGATTATCTAAATATACAGGACATGTATTGCAATCATGTTGAATTTCTTAAATTTTTTCCCCATATCAACTAGCTAAGGCCAAGGCTGTCACTACAGTCAAGTAGACTATTTTTATTTATTTTTATTTTATTGAGGTAACAACCTTCTCTCAACTCTTCAACTTTAAAATGCAAACCTTGATAAACAGTGCTGTTGCATGAGGAAACAAGTTAAATGCTGAGAAACAAGCAAGCGTTTTACCACTACACTATTAAAACATATTAAATGATTTATCATTCATTTAAAAGTTAACATTTTCTGATTAAGCATTTTAATGAAGTTTTAGTTTTTTTTTTTTTCAATTAAATCTAACTCCCAAAAGCATGATAAATGAGGCAAATATGAATTTTATTAAATGAGGCAAACATGATTGTTGTTAAATGAGGTAAACATGAATGTTGTTAAATGAGGCAAACATGAATGCTGTTAAATAAGCAAACATGAATGTTAAATAAGGCAAACACGAATGTTGTTAAATGAGGCAAACATGAATGTTGTTGAATAAGGCAAACATGAATGTTGTTAAATGAGGCAAACATGGTCAAATCAGACCGTTGCATGTATAAACAAATTAAGTGTGGTACTTTCATAGATATAAGGTGGATTTGAAAATCTTGATGGTGAGCTGAGTGTTCTACTTTGTGTGAGTTAATGTAATCTCTTGTGTAATTTCTGTATTGAACATAGAGACAATTGAACAGTAGAGACAACAGTTTGAACAATTGAAAACAGTTTGATCAATTGAACAATAGGGACAACAGAAAAACATAATAATTTAAATAATATTTTATTAAAAGCTGTCATTTTTTTCTTATTTCTCTTATTACTACTTTTTAAATATTTATAATTTGGAGCTTTAGACTTCACAAAAGTATTATGGTAGCTATTTTATTTTAAACTATTTGATTTCTTAGAGCACCAGAGTTATTTGAAGTTCCTTCTCCCGGGACAATTACAGAGAAAACTGATATCTGGTCAATTGGATGTACAATGCATGCGTTAGCTTATGGAAATAGCCCATGTGATGGAACAGCCACTTCAGCTATGAGTCCTAACATGAAATTAGACAATTCTTTGTAAGATCCTAGAAACTTTATTTAGTTAGTGAGCAGGCTTTTTAAATTACATAATTGAAATTGAGATTATATTTCTTATAGGTATATATATGTATCTAATATATTATCTATTACACACACACACACACACACACACACACACACACACACACACACACAGATATATATATATATATATATATATATATATATATATATATATATATATATATATATATATATATATATATATTTGTTTCCAGGCTTCAATCACTGCATTTTTTGCAAAACATTTTTATTTAACATAAGGGTCATTCCATATCAAATAAAATTTATTTATTTATTTGATATGGAATGTATATATATAAATATATATAAATATAAGAATATATTTCTTATAGATAATATATATGTATATTATCTATTACACACACACACACACACACACACACACACACACACACACACACACACACACACACACACACACACACACACACACACAGATATATATATATAATATATATATATATATATATATATATATATATATATATATATATATATATATATATATATATATATATATATATATATTTGTTTCCAGGCTTCAATCACTGGATTTTTTGCAAAACATTTTTATTTAACATAAGGGTCATTCTGTATCAAATAAAAATTTTTTGGGCACCATGCCATCTTTTTTTTTTTGTGTGTAATTCACCTCTCCAAGGCTAAAAAGGCCATTACAGATGAGGAAGCTACTTGTCTTTATAACCCTCTCTTAACTCTATAAATCTGAAACACGAACCTTGACAAACAAGGACGCTGTGCTGAGAAACAAGTTAAGTGCGGTACTACCAAGGACGTGATAAGAATCAAACTCGGAACCTCTCGCTTATGAAATGAGCGCTCTACCACAACACTTTTTGGAGTACAACCTTATAATAATGAAAAAAGTTTCACTCTAAATTTTAATGTCTGACTCCTTATGGTTTCAAAGATATCGATACTCAGTCCCAATCTCTTTTTTGACTGTTTTTTTCAGCACCATTTATTTTTTAAACTGATTGCTCAACACAACTAGTTTTAACATATGAAATAATTGTTCAATAGTATTGAAAATTTGTATCTAACTATTTATTTAAAGCTTTTATATGAAAATTTAATTTTAAAATAATGTAATACTTTTTGTATATTTTTTTGATACCCTGTACAAAAAAATGTTTATCTTGAGATGCCTGAAAGGTTTGATTCTGAATTTTTTTCCTAATATTTTATATGTAACAAATGCCACACTACAAAAAAACTGCAAAGGTTTTCTTTTTTAAATCAGATTTACTTGCATTAAAAAGTTTTATAAAACTGATCCCCAAAAATATCAAAATTACAAAAATAAACCATGTAAAAAATTAAAATAAGGTAATAAGAATTAACAATCTTTAACAGTTTCATAAAAAATTAATTCTCTAGTTTAAAGTTTGCCCAGCTTTCTACAATGCTTTAGTGATCAATTTCACTGGTTTTGTGTTGTCTTCCTGTACAGTTGGAATATTAATCATTAGGAATAAGTTTGTTAATGGAACCTAGCATACACCATCTCTAGACGGCCAACAATATGACCTTAAATGATAAAATGGATGCTTCTTATCAATATCCTCAACTAACAATCCAATCCATGGATTGTTATTATATATCAAATATATAAGCACTCTAATGCTTATATTAAGCAAGCTTTAATCTCATCAGTTTAAAAAATTAAAAACAAATGAATACTCTATTTGTTCATGCTTGACTCCTTAGATATGTATTAAGAATTAATTTCTATGATTTCATTTTGGAAAATATAAAAGATTGCAGATGCTGTAGGTATATGATTTGTTGTTGCTCAATGAAGGCTAGCAATTGAAGTTAGTCTTTTTACATTTCCACCAGTTCCATTACAGGATGATTTACCGTGACCTGTCTTATTCATAGTGATATATATTTGAAAAGGAATGAGCAGTTTCTATTTGATAAGAAATATTGCTTTTAATATGCTCAATTGTTAACTTCATCACATGATATACAATATCTACATCATACAATTAATCAAATGAGATGAAACATATTGAATCATACTTGAGGTCATAATTTACTTTATAATAAACCACTGTTGGATGCAATGTTGCTTGAATTTTGTTGGATGCAATGTTGCTTGAATTTTGTTGGATGCAATGTTGCTTGAATTTTGTTTGATTTAATGTTGCTTGAATTTTGTTGGATACAATGTTGCTTGAATTTTGTTGGATGCAATGTTGCTTGAATTTTGTTGGATACAATGTTGCTTGAATTTTGTTGGATGCAATGTTGCTTGAGTTTTGTTGGATGCAATGTTGCTTGAATTTTGTTGGATGCAATGTTGCTTGAACTTTGTTTGATTTAATGTTGTTTGAATTTTGTTTGATTTAATGTTGCTTGAGTTTTGTTGGATACAATGTTGCTTGAATTTTATTGGATACAATGTTGCTTGAATTTTGTTCCAGTGAAAAATTTGTACTTTGTTTTGTACAACAAACTCATAATTTTCTGATAAATCACAAAGGATAACAACAACAATCACAAAGGACAATAACTTTAAAACAAAAAATAACTTCAGTACTATTTAACTCATTTTTTAATTTCCTTTGATAATTATTTATAAAACCATTGGAAAAATTTCTTTTAGGCATCTCAAGATAAGCTTTTTTTTTGTATGAGGCATTAAAAAACTTCAAAAAATGTTACACCATTTTGAAATTGAATTTTCATATAGAAGCTTTAATTTTTGTGTGTTTTAGCTATCAATTTTGAGTTCCTCTCCCTAAAAAATAGTTAGATATAAATTTTCAACACTTTGAGCAAGTATTTCATAAGTTAAAGCTAATTGTGTAATGTCATAATATTAAAAAAAATAAATGGAGCTGAAAAAAACAGTCAAAAAAGAGATTTGGATTGAATATTAATATCTCTGAAAAAATAAGGAATCAGACACTAAAATTTGGAGTGTAGTTTTTTTTTTCATTAATTTAAGTTTGTATACCAAAAATTATCAAAATCTGAGGTGGCATCATGCCACCTCAAATTTAGATAATTTTATATATATATATATATATAATATATATATATATATATATATATATATATATATATATATATATATATATATATATATATACATAAATATATATATATATATATATATATATATATATATATATATATATATATATATATATATATACATACATGTGTATATATATATATATATATATATATATATATATATATATATATATATATATATATATATCACATTTTACCAGAATTAATTTTTTATAGATATTGTGTAAAAATTAATTTTTAAGCAAAGCAAAAAATAACGGTACAATTTAAAGCTTGTTCTTTTATTCATAAAGTATTACTTAATAAAATTTAGGCATTTTGAATATTTATTGGTTATTACAACAATATATATTCAAAGTAGCAATATTTTGTAAAGCCATCTTTATTTGCAACAATTGTTTTGATGGGTCTTGGCATAATTGCAATAGACTTTTTTTTAGTTTGTTAACTCTGGATATAATATATATGTATATTATGCCAGATTCTAATAATCATTTCCATTAGATCTTTCTTATTAGTTATAATTCTTTTCCAAGCTTTTGCTTTACCAACTTCTAAATGTTTTCTATGGAAGTCAAGATTAGGTGAATTGCTTGGCTATGGTGGTACATCAATATTTTTTTTATTTAAAAAAACCATAACACTCTTTGCTATGCAGCAAATTACACCATCTCACATAGATATAAGATTTTGGATAATTTTAGACCAATCTGCCATTTGGTGAACCAACTGATTTTTCAGAACTTCTATATACTGGTCTTGTCTCATTGTCCCAACCACTTTGTAGAGGCGTCCTGCTCTTTACCCACAAATAAAAGGCCAGATTGTAGATGCTCGACTGTTTCCACAATGCAGTGAGGATAAAACCTTTCGTTTTGTCTACAACAGAGAAATGCTGTTTTGTCCATCACTTGAAAGATTGACTTATCTGGAAGCAAACCTAAAATAATGTTTTCTTTAAGTTATAATATTTAAAAAATGTTGTGAAATATATTATGAATAAGAATGTGAATATATTTTTCCCAGTTCTCAACAGAATTGGGAACAGAGCCTATTCAATCTTCATGAAAGAAGGTAGTTTCAATTTCTTGGCTGGACAATGACACAGCAATCTCTCTTCTTTCAGCCTTCTGCGAATGGTCCAATCTGATATAGTATTACCATCTTCCTAAATTGCTTAATCAATACTTTTTGTGTCTTCTTCCTGTTATTCAGGCATTCATTTTGATTCGGTCTGCATGTTTTGGTTTAGAAGGTGGTTTCCTTACACCAAACTCTTCTCAAGTATCAATTTATTTTTCTCACTTGCATTACAGTTTGGTAAGAAACCTTTACCATTAGTGCAATTTTTCAGACAGATTTTTAAGGATGATTTGTTCTGCTCTTTTACTCTCTCTACTTCTCCTTACACCAAACTCTTCTTCAGTATCAATATTATTTCTCAATTGCATTCCAGTTGGGCGAGAAATCTTTAAAACTAGTGCAATTGTTCTCTGAGAATATTGCATATTCTGTAAAAGATATATAATTTGACTAATTTTAGTTAGTGCAATATCACACTTCTTCCCTATAGCTGAAAATTTAAATTTAAAACTTAAAAAAATGAAAACATTGATATCTTTATATATATTCATATATATATATATATATATATATATATATATATATATATATATATATATATATATATATATATATATATGTATATATATATATATATATATATATGAATATATATATATATATATATATATATATTCATATATATATATATATATATATATATATATATATATATTCATATATATATATATATATATATATATATATATATATATATATATATATATATATATATATATATATATATATATATATATATATATATATATATATGAATATATATATGAATATATATATATTATATATATATATATATATATATATATATATATATATGAATATATATATATATATATATATATATTCATATATATATATAAATATATATATATATATATATATATATCATATATATATATCATATATATTTATATGCATCATATCATGTATATGCTTTTTTAATTTAGGTATTCCAGTAAGTTTAACAGCATTATAAAATCTACTTTAAATGTTTGTCCTGAAATGCGACCAACAGTACTGGAGATTTTAGAGCAATTAGAAAATATTGATTTAAGTTAATCTTTTTTAAAATATTTTATAGTTCATCTTTTTATATCAATTTTTAACAATATTTACAAATCATGTAATAGTAAGCATTATTTTATTCAATGTATTAGTACTATTAAACTGTTAAAACTTAATTTATTTGTATTTGTACACATGTCATTTGATTGAATTATATGCTCAAATTTGCCTTATAATAGTTGTAACATAGTTGTAGATGTAATACTTAAGATATACATGTTATGAGAATATTTATGATGTAATAATTATGATATAATATTGTTATGTAATAGTTATGACAACATTTTGAGGAAAAAATTATTACATAATATTTATGATTTAATAATTATGGTATAATATTAATATGTAATGGTTGTGACACAATACTTTGAAATTTTTTTAAAACTATAATCACTGCTGAAATGTGTTATTAATTGTGTTATTTGTTTTTATTATTGGTTGTTAAATTTTCAGTTTTTTAGACATTCAGTTTGTTTGATGCTTTATTTTGTTGTTTTTGTTTATACAATTTTTTTTTATTTTACTGGTGTTATTTATAAGAAATTATTTAAAAGAATTTAAAAAAAAGAACTTATTTTCTTACATATCTTTGTTTTCTTGTGGGATTTAAAAATAAATTTGGGTTATTTGAGGCAATTTTTTCAACTAATTTAAATATTTTTGAAATGAATTGATTTAGGTTAATTATTTAAATTAATATATAAAATACATTATATTTTCTTGCAATAAGGTTTATTGTATTATAATTATATACTATAAAGTGATAATATAGTGCTAGTAATAATGGTGCATACATGGTATTACAGTATAAATACTTGCTTAACAATAAGTATTTATTTTTTGTACGGAGTTAACTATGTGAATTGATTTAATTTTAAGATAATATATATATATATATATATATATATATATATATATATATATATATATATATATATATATATATATATATATATATATATATATATATATATCAGGACAATATTTTAACGTTTTGCTTAGGCCTTCCTATTGTGACTAATTTAAAATTTTTACTTTTTATGTGATAAATGATGCAATGCATTCCATGCATTGCATCATTTATCACATGCAAAGTAAAAATTTATCATCATTTATAAAATGATTTTCAGGTAGATGGAACTGTCTAAAAAAGAAATAGATTTTGAGTTTCCCTTTGAACCATATGATATTCAGAAATCTTTTATGAGCACCTTATATGAAACACTTCAAAATGACAAGATTGGTATATTTGAAAGTCCAACAGGAACAGTTAGTGTTAACATTATTTTAATTTTAAAATTACTTTCATTTGTCAATATATACACACACACACACACACAGATATATATATATATATATTATATATATATATATATATATATATATATAGGGAAAACCCCGCTTTTTTAGACCCTACGAGTCCGAGCCTAGCCTACGAATATTTATCGGATCCGGGTTCGAGTCCGGGTCTAATACGTTTTTTTAACTCGCAATTTTAACAATAGCATGAAATGGTTTTTTGTTCTCACGCCCATTTAAAAAAATGGATTTGGTGTATGTTATGGTAAATAAAATGACTATTATCCAGCTTATACCTTTATTATGATCTTAAACTACCAAATAAACTTGACATTACTTTAAAAAAATATTGCTTTAGTATTTACAAACATAATTTATAATAAAATACATGCAAATATACTAGCAATAATAAACTCAACTAAATTAAAATACGTATAAGTGTTTAATACATACCAGAGCAATTATTTTTTACTTAAAAAATAAAACTTTAAAAAAACTAATGCCCTCAATGAGTTGTCCGATAATCTAGAACGAATTCTTGTACAGAAGTTAGATGCTACAGAAAATGTTCGTTCGGAATTTGTTGACGTTGGTTTTATCGTCATTAACGCTTGATACAGTTTTTCTAAATATGCAGTTCTCTTTTTAGTTTTTGAAAACAATAAAAATTATTTTTTAATATCAGCAAATTCATCTCTGCAACTTGGCAAATTTGGACATTTCGCACTTTCTAATATTTTATGTAGTTCTTTTTCCAATGTTAAATCTTCTGCGTTTCCTGTAGTATTTTCGTTATTTTCAGTTGAATGTTCCTGTTCATAATGCGTGTTTTGCTGTTCTTCATCCCCATCAAATAATCTTTTCATTAAATCTGTAGTAAATGTTAGTATTTTCTTTGAAGGCATAGTACCATTTACAAGAGAATTTAATAGCTCTTCTAATTCTTGGTTTTTACGGCTATTTATTCGAGTTTTCATCCTCATTAATAGTTCTCTACTTATGTTACCATTCAATTACCGTTGAATGGTAACATAAGTAGAGAATTCAATTACCGTTCTCTACTTATGTTACCAATACAAAATCAATTGCTAATCGGGCTGTGGCAATATTAGCATTGTCTCTGCTAAGAACTTCAACAGTTAATTTAATAGGCTTTAGAGTATTTTCCAATTCATGTAATAATTCAATATTTAAATTTTCTATTAAATGTACACTTCCAATATCTTAAAGAGCTTCTTTAACTATATAAAATTACTTTAAAAATCTAGATACCATTTCGAGCAATGAGTTCCAATGAGTTCTTATGTCTAACACTAGCTGAAGTTCATTTCCTAAAACTATTTTGACCTTTTCTTGCAAAATATTATTTCGCACAGAATAATTTTTAAAAAATTTAACAATTATACGAACACTTTTTATATTTTCTTCTATATTTCCTAAATTTGTTAATTCAACATGTTCATACTCTTCGACGTCATCACCACTATTGTCAGAATAATAATTTTCATCTTGATTATCATCAATAACATCTTGACCATGGTCATCACCATCACCATCAATACCATCTTCATTTTGCAAGACGGCAATATTTTTCTTTTTATATAGTACATCACAAACAGCTAAGTGTATAGTGTGATTCAAACACAAATTATAGAGACTAGGAGATTCTTGTCCAAGTTTTATCATTACACTTGCACCGTTGCCGGTTGAACCAACTATATGTTTTTTAAAATTAATGTTATATGTGTTTAAATGTTGTTCTACTTTTTCAACTGACTGTACAGCTGTACACGAGTTAGAAATTCTCACTAAACCCAGATTATACATTTCAGAGTCAATTCCATGCAAATTGATATTTAGATATTTCCGAATTTTCATACTCGTCCATTCATCAAGTGTAATGCTAAATTGTTGGCCTTCTTTAACTTTTTCTTGTAACAATTCTAATATTTCCAACTTCTTTTTTTCATAAAATTTATGAATTAAATTCATAACATCTCTTTCGGCTTTAGGAAGATTATAACTTGATTTTACTAAACTTTCACGAATAAAGCTAGACTTTGCGATTGCCCTAATTTTTATACCATCAAGACAATTTCTTCTAAAGGCTTTCTTGCAACAGAAGCGAAAGTGTCCATAGTTTTATATCGTTTGTTGGTGGAATTTTCTCCTATTTCTTCTTGTGTTGGTAAAAAAAATAGTTTAACTTTTAAATGTTTAATCATTGATGAAGTATTTCCATCTTTGTTTGATATTATCGTTGAACACCTACTGCATTTACCACTTTTCAAATAAGTACATTGGGTGAAATAGTTCCACACTTTTGAATTCTTTGGCATAATAGCGTTGTATAAAATTTCACATTAAACATATGATGTTCTACTTTTTTTCATAAAATGGAGATATTAATCAACTATTTAATTAACAAATGAAATGTCCGGGTACCCGGGACCGAAAAACCCTAATATATATATATATATATATATATATATATATATATATATATATATATATATATATATATATATATATATATATATATATATATATATATATATATATATATATATATATATATATATATATATATATATATATATATATGTATATATATATATATATATATATATATATATATATATATATATATATATATATATATATATATATATATATGACCATGCAAATAATACTTTATTTTGATGGTTTGACCACGGTTTTAAACATTTAAAAAATGCGCTGAAAAATTATTTTTTTTCGTCAAAAATAAATAACTTTGAAACTTTTATCTTTACTAACGTTTTAGCAAAATGCTTTTAAAAAAAGTAACAGTTACTGTTAACATTTTAATTTAAAGTATAGATGAAAGTTGTATAAATTTTTATTTATATTATTTAAACATATATAAAAATGTATAATTAATTAATAAATTAATATATAAGAATTTTTTATAATTAATCTTATTGATTTGCACTTTGGTTCAAATAATAAAGAATATTCGTATTTTATGAACAATAAAAATAAATTTATGGAAATTGAAAAGTCAAAACTAGAAAAAGATATTGGTGTTTATATATCAAGTGATTTAAAATGGGCCAAACAAATAAAATATGTAGCTAGTAAAGCAAATAGTATGCTCTCACTACTAAATAATACATTCAAGTACAAGGATAAAGATTTAATAAAAATACTGTATTGTACATATGTTAAACCAAATTTAGAATTTTCGATTCAAGCATGGAGTCTGTATTATACAAAAGATAGTAATGAACTAGAAAAAATCCAACGAAGAGCTACCAAAATGATACCGGAGCTAAGACATCTTGAGTACGAAAAAAGGGTAGAAATTTTGGGTTTGACTACTTTGGAGACTAGTAGGTGATCCAGAAATTCAAAATGTTTAAAGGTATTGAAATCATTGATATTAAACAAAATCAAATAATGAACTCTATTTGCTCATCAGGTCCTGCAGCTAACATCAGAAGAGCAAAACATCAAATGAAACCTGAATTGGTCAGAAATTATTTGAAAAGTAAATATTTTTTCAGCAATAGGGTCGTTGATGGATGGAATAGTCTACCAGCCGAAGTTGTTCAATCTACTACAGTTAAAAGCTTCAAATTAAACTTGTAATTGGTCGACTTAGAAGCAATAACAAACAAGATAAAAACCAAGAAAGCTTATTATTAACGTTTTTATTATTAAGTGACTGAACTACCTTGTTCATTAATTAATTTATACCGGCTGTCATAGATATTGCCTGGCGCTTAATCTCATCAGCATTTTTTGTTACTATTATTATTATTATTTTTTAATTATTTAAATTTTATATGTGACGACTTTAAACAACAATCGTCTCTTTTTTTTATATAATAAATTTTTTTCTTTAGTCTTTATAATAAAAAAGTTATCAATTAAAGTTAGCAAACAAAATTATTAACAAATTAAATTAACTTAACAATTAAATGAATAGTTTTGTTCATTATTTTTCGTTTTCATCTTCATTTTTCCTCATTTGCTTTCTGACATTGGATTTCTGACAAAAACAACAGTTTAATTATTTTTCTTTTGTTTACATTTTCAAGTTTTTTTTTTATTTTATTAAATTTTTTCTTTTAAATGTGGGTAATTATTATAAAATTGTTGGAAGTTGTTACTTTATTTAAAAGTGTTTTGCTTAGTCTATAAATTATAAAAAAAAACACATGTTATTTTTGTCTGTAAGTTTCCCCCCCCCCCCTCCTTCCTCCATGCCTCAAAAAAAAAAAGCGTAATTAAAAAAAGTTTCCTCATTAAATTTAAGCGTTTTTTTTTTTAAATACCACTAATGCGCGATGATGTTTTTTATAATAACAAAAGTGTTTATTTACATTTTTTTTTCAATTAGTACTATTTATTTTTTATTTTTTTACTATTAATATTAACTATTTTTTGTTTTTTAACTATTAATATGTTATATGGTGCGGTAACAAACAGGCGGGACACAAGTTTTACATTATAAAAACATTAGTAAAAGTTTGAAGTTATTTTTTTCAAACGTGATTATAAAGATAAATTGAATAAACTTATTCTTTATTATTTATTTTAGCTGAGTTTTGTTCTTGTTTTTTTTATTTTTGTTTTAGTTATTTATTACTAAACTGTTTTTATTTTGTTTTTCATTATTTTTTTAAAAAGAATTTTTTTAATATAAGTTAAAAAAAAATATTATTTGCGTGGTCATATTAAGCCGTGAAATCGCACACCTTTCTGTCCACTTATGTATTTCTGTCCATATATGTATATATATATATGTCCATATATGTATATATATATATATATATATATATATATATATATGTATATATATATATATATATGTATATATATGTATTTAAAATTTAAAAAACTCTACATTTACCAAACAGAAAATTTTATTAACTTAGTTTTTATTAAAAATATAATAAAAAAAAAAATTTGTTCATTATCAAGTTAATAAAGTTTTCTGTTTAGTAAATGTAGAGTTTTTTAAATTTTCAATACATATATGTATACAAATATATATATTTAAAATTTAAAAAACTCTATATTTACCAAACAGAAAATTTTATTAACTTTGACTTTTTTATTTTATATTTGTAATGTTTTCAATTTTCTATTAAAAGGGAAAGTCATTAAGCCTGATATGTGGCTCTTTGAGATGGCTTTTTGATTACGAGATAGAAAAAGAAGAAAAAATAAAATCTATAATAAATTTCTCAAGTGCTGTAGAAAGGTAATATTGTTAAAAGATAAAAAATGAATTTTCTTTTTTAACATTTTGATATAAGCATTTTTTGTTGAAACCATGACACCTAACACATGATGCATTTGCAAATAATTATTCTAATAATGTTTTTCAGATTGTTAAACTAAATAATTTTATATAAGAAATTTAATATACTACAGTGTACAGTTTCTTTCTTAACTTTTTTTTAACTCTAACTAATTTTCAATTTTAATTTTTTTTAATATTTGATAAGTACTTTTAATTTATGTTTTTTTTTAAATCTAGATAACTGTCTAGTTTGATTGATTTTTTTTTTTATTGAAACTTTCTTGTTTGTTAGATTAATTTTGATATTTCTGTAACGTGTTCTGTAAAATAGATTTGACTTAATTGGAAATTAGATTCTACGAAAAAAGTGTAACATCTTGAAACTTCTTCATCAAAGCATTTCTGAAATCTTGAAATTGAAAGTTTTTCTTTTTAATTTTTTGTTCATTTGATAATTTGTCTTGTTCATTTGATAACTTGACTTGTTCATTTGATCACTTGTCTTGTTCATTTGATAACTTTTGCCTTTCTCAATCCCTAACTCAAATAGTAAACTTTCCAACTTGCTTTCCAGACAACTCGAATCATTTACCTTCTCTACTCGACTTATGTCTTGTTTCTAATCCTAGTCAGTGCTCAGTTTCTCCACACTCACCCTTAGGTGCTTCTGATCATGGTTTGGTCTCTCTAAAACTATTATCTCATTCTTCTTTACCATCAGTATCCCCCTATCATCGTACATCTTACAACTACCTTAAAGCTGACTGGGACTCTTTCCGTGATTTTCTTCGTGATGGCCCCTGGGTAGAAATCTTTCGTCTCCCTGTTGATAAATGTGCTTACATAACCTTGTGGATTCAGGCTGGCATGGAATCCTTTATTCCCTCTCGACAATTCCAGGTCAAGCCTAACTCTTCTCCATGGTTTTTCTCATATTGTGCTGCTGCAATTGCCAATCAAAACCACTACTTCCATATCTATCAGCAAAACAGTTCTCCAGAAAACAGACGTCTGTTTATTACTGCTAGGAAAAAAGCAGCATCTGTTATCCCTATTTTTAAAAATTCTGGAGAGCGATCCGATTCGTCTAACTACCGTCCCATTAGTCTTCTTCCTATCATAAGCAAGGTTTTTGAATCTTTAATTAACAAACACTTAATCTCTTATCTCGAATCTCATAACCTACTTTCTGATCATCAATATGGATTTCGATCTTCTCGTTCTACGGCTGATTTGCTAACAGTAATAACCGATAGGTTTTATCGCGCATTAGATAAAGGTGGAGAGGTTAAGGCCATCGCTTTTGACATTTCTAAAGCGTTTGATAAAGTTTTGCATGCTGGTCTTCTCCATAAGCTTTCTTCTTACGGTGTATCTGGAAACATCTTTAAGATTATTGAATCCTTCCTTTCCAATCGTAGTATAAAAGTTGTCGTTGATGGACAGCACTCTTCTTCTTATTCTGTAACCTCAGGGGTTCCTCAAGGTTCAATCCTTGGCCCTATAAATTTACATTAACGATCTTCCAGATATTCTTACATCTAAGGTGGCATTGTTCGCTGATGATACCATTTATTCTTGTCACGATAAGAAGCCAACTCTCTCTGATTGGTTGCAGGGGGCATCTGAGCTTGAAAAGGATCTCACTTCTGCTACAGCATGGGGCTCACAGTGGCTTGTGAACTTTAATTCAGATAAAACTCAATTTTTTTCAGCCAATTGTTATCACAATAATTTAGACCTTCCTATATTTATGAACGTAATGTACTCGATGAGTCTCTTACCCTTCATCTTCTAGGATTAACTCTTACTTCTGATCTTTCTTGGAAACCTTATATCAAATCCGTTGCAAAATTAGCATCTGCTAAAGTTGCTTCTCTTTATCAAGCTCGTCACTTTCTTACTCTGGATTCTATTCTCTATCTCTATAAATCTCAAATCCGGCCTTGTATGGAATACTGTTGCAATATCTGGAGCGGATCTTCTAATGATGCCCTTTCTCTTTTAGACAAGGTGCAAAAACGCATTGTAAACATAGTTGAACCTGCTCTTGCAGCCAACCTTCAACCTCTGTCACATCGTCGTAATGTTGCTTCTCTTTCTCTTTTCTACAAATACTATAATGAGCACTGCTCTAAAGAGCTAGCAACTCTTGTGCCATCTACTAAAATTCATTCTTGTGTTACTCGTCATTCAATCAAGTCTCATCCTTTTTCTGTTACTGTTTCTAAGTGCTCCAAAAACTCTTATTCGTCTAGTTTTTTTCCTCGAACATCAGTTCTTTGGAATTCACTTCCTTCATCTTTCTTTCCTGATTTATATAATTTGCAATCTTTTAAGTTGTCTGTCAATCTTTATCTTGCTCTACACTCTTCATCTTTTCTCTTCCAGTAACTTCCAACACTAATTAGTGGTTGCTTGCAGCCTTGTTCGAAGCGAAGATGTTAAAAAGAAAAAAAAAAAAAAAACTTGTCTTGTTCATTTGATAACTTGTCTTGTTCATTTGATAACTTGTCTTGTTCATTTGATAACTTGTCTTGTTCATTTGATAACTTGTCTTGTTCATTTGATTGTTTTTGATTTTTGATTTTTGTTAAAATGGCTGCTAGGGAAAGAGTTAACATTATGAAAGTTTAATTAACAGTATTTATTTGAAAACTTTCATTGATTGAAATCTTGAAAATTTTTTTTTTTCAAATTTATCTTTTTTTATTTATATACATAATTGTCTTCTTTATTTGTTTGTGATAATATTTTCTTTTTAATTTTAGTAAGCTGTTTTTTTTTTTGCTCTAACCTAGTTAGATGTTCTATAAGATTCTCTAATGCTTATCTGTTATTTTCTGGATAACATTTTCATCATAAATCTTTATTTAATTTTACATTGGCAGCAATCACAAATGAAGATAGTTTATTGAAATTTTAAAGGGCAATTTTAAAGAAATATCAGTTAAATGTTTCTGAACTTATTTTTACCAGGGATGATGGTCAGATTAAATTAGCCATCATTGATTGTTAGATAAATGCATCATGTAAATTGTTAAGTTTATTTTATTTGTTTGTTCTGTTTAAAATGATGTAATAATAAAATTTAAAATTGATGTAACAAAAATGTTTAAAATTTATGATTTTTATAACCTTTTGCCATGGTTATAAAAATATATATAGAAGTAAATTGTTTTGTATTTTTAATATATTCAAGAAAATGTTTTCAGCTTTCATATCATTTTGGTTTTAGAACAAATGATGACAAAGCAAATGATGAAGAAAAAAAAGGTTTGAATAATAATTTTCAAATTCAAATGATTTCTTGCTTTATAACTTTTATGCTCAATTGATGTAAATTGAGTTCATTTGACTTTTTTAACAGTTTGATATTTGCATAATTTATAATTAAAGTTAATATATGTAGGCAAATGTCACAGTAAGATTTTTTTTTTTGCAACTTATAAAGCTAGGTTACAGATTACCATACAGTAATAATGGTGGTACCATACATGCCAACAGAAATCACTCCATCATTTCCATTACCGAAAGATTGTAAATATGCCAATAACATGAAAACTTTTTACAATTACTTTTAATAATAATAACTTTTTTAGATAGGGAGAGGCATGGGTTAGCATAACCCAAAAAGCAAAGAATCTAATGTTAAAAATGACTGATGTTTATAAAATCAGAAGGGATCTAATGGTTGCTACTGCACATGTGCAAACACAGCATTTTCTTTTTACTTTAAAAAGTCTATATTGAAAGATTTCTGATAGTGGGGTTGGGTAGAGATTTTGATGTTGCAGCATTTTTAGTTTTTTTTAATTAAAGAAAGTATTTCTATTTATTTTATCAATAAGTATTTAAGATGAGTTTGCATGTACTTTTTACATAAGAAGTTTTTTACATCCATTATAAAAATATATTAAATCTTAATTGCTGTTAATTAATTTTTTAGATTTATGTATATTAATTTTATTAATATTTTCCAGTTTTTTTTTTTTTACAAGAACCATCTTGGGTGACAGATTTTTTTAAACAAAAAGCAGCTAATGTTCAGCTTGAAAAGTTAAAGGTAAATTTTAAAATCTTATAAACTTATCAACATAACATTTAAAACAAATATTTTTTTAATAATATTTATTTTTAATCAATGATATAATCACCCTCATTTTCCACAACCTTTTGCCATCGAGCGGGCAAACTTTCTATACCAGATCGAAAAAAATGTATTGGTTTGTCATTAAAATATCTGGAGATGCCATTTTTTAGGCAGTACAAAGTTTGAAATTTTTTGTCACTTAGAAAGTGCTGTAAGGATCGGAACAAATGAAAATCTGAAGGGGCGATATCAGGTGAATATGGAGGGTGGGGCAGCACCTCCCATCCCAATTCATTAATTTTTTCTAGCGTCCGTCGTGCACAGTGCGGCCTTGCATTGTCATGTTGAAGAATGACACCTTTTCTGTTGACGATAGCCGGGTAATTCTCAACTAGAGCTTGGTTCACTCGATCCAATTGTTGACAATAAAGGTCCGCATTAACAGTTTGTCCAGGAATAAGCACTTCAAAGTGGACGATTCCGCGGATGCTCCACCAAACACACAGGAGCGCCTTCTTGGGGTGTAATCCCGGCTTTGCAGTACTGCGTGCTGGTTCATTTGGGGAGAGCCACTGCCTTTTGCGTTTTGGATTATCGTATAGGACCCATTTTTCATCTCCAGTGACCAAACGATCAAGAAACGGTTCTGCATGGTGCCGTTGAATCAATGCATTGCACGTGGTTGATCTGTTGGCTTTGTTTTGCACTGACAAGTTATGGGGGACCCAAACACCTGCTCTGCTGATTTTTCCTATCTGGTGTAAATGTTCTTAGATGGTCGACCAAGGTTGGTTAAGGGTGTTCGACAATTCTTCGATGGTTTGGCATGGATTTGCTTCAACTTCTGCCCTTAGAACGTCGTTGTCTAATGACATTGGTCTTCCTGGTCGATGGGCGTCAGAAAGATCAAAATTCCCAGATCTAAACTTGGAAAACCATCTTTGGCATTTGCGAACATCTAATGAACCTGGGTAAACATCACTAATGTTCTTAGTCGCAACTGTAGCGTTATTACCCTTGCGAAATTCAAAAAGCATACAATGACGAATATGTACTTCCTGTATTTCGTATGCCATTTCACTCCAATTTGCAAAGAAAACTATTTAATTTTAAATAATTTAGAAGTAAACAAGTCACACTAATATAAAAATAACCTGTGCACGTGTTCGAGATACACAATAAACTGGCCAACGATTATCGAATGTCAACATGCGCAAAAACGACATTACTTTCCGGTCAACCTAATACATATAAAACACAGATATAGAGAACTAAACAACATTTTTTAAAAATTTTAATACTGAATTCTTGTGATGTTATTGTTTCCTGATCTACATGGTTAGGAAACAATAACATCATTGGAATTCAGTAATTAATTTCAGTAACACATTCTGAAATGAAATAAAAAATATTTTAAGTTTCTTTTTGTGTTAAAATAGATTTTTTGCAATTGATTGTTGCTTTAGCTTTTTTTATGTCTTTTTATTCTGTTTTTTTATTTTAGCTATATACATTTTTCATTATACTTATAATAATAAAAACATAGTAGTATTTTTAGTGTGTGATATATTAGTATTAAATATACATTTAAAATGTTTCTTTTAATATTTGTATTTATTAAAATAGGAAAAAGAAAGTTTAAAAAAGAAAAAAAATGAACTTATTGAAAAGAGGAAAAACATTGTAAACTTTAAACGAAAGGTAAAACATCTGTATAGTTGTTTTGTAATAATTTATTTTCTAATAATAAGAAATTTTTATATGTATTTATCAATTTTTTTTTCATACTGTGTTTGCTTTTTTTGCTTTAAAAAACATTGATGTTTGTTCTGATTCATCACATCATCAAACAATGTCATCATCAGATTATCCATCTAACATCAAATTAGGAATTTTGACTTAAGCATTAGATTACTTATAATTGCTTATGATTGCAGGTATTTAAAAAAAATGTTTTGGTTATGTGTAACTTAATCATATACTTTTTGATAAAAAGTGTTAGAGATGTTATAGATAATGTTAGATATAGTGGTTTACTGGTAAATCCCTAATTATATTTCAAATCTGTTACTAGTAAATTACAAAAGTTTGCTGGTAGATTGCCAGTTTTCATTTTTTACAGATTGCTTCAGTTTGTGTTCATAATATTTGTCAATAATTTTTTTTGTATAGAGAATAATCAATTTATTAATTTGCATTATCTTTTATTTTTTTATTCTTTGTAATTTACCTCCCCTAGCCAAGATGGCCACTACAAGAAAACTACTTATTTTTTTAAATATTTTTTAATGTGGTAACAACTCTTTAACTCCAAAATACAAATCTTGATGGTACTGTGCTGAGAAACAAGTTTAAAGCGGTACTGCCAGGGATGTGTTGGGATCAAACTCAGAATTCCTTGCTTAAAAAGTGAGCGCTCTACCTTTACACCGCTACCGTATTAAAAGTTAAGTTATTTGAACGTTAACTGAAGTAATTATGAAACTTAAAGTTGAATAATGTTAACATGAAATGCTGTAAGTAAAAAATAAATAAAGCAAACATGAAAATGTAATTGTAAGTTAAATAACTTTAATTAAATTTTGTATTTATTTTCTTGTCAATAATATTAGAAAGCAATGATACAATGCAATCAATTATTGTTTTTTTTTTACTGTGCTTAAATGTTAAATGAAATGTTTGATTTTTTTTTAATGTTATTTTTTAGAAGCTATATTTTTTCACCAAAACTCTCTTAATAAAATCCTAATAAAAAATTAGTTTTTTATTAATTTTGCATGATGGAATTCAATATTCAAATATTCAAATTAATAGTATATTATCATTATAAAAATAGTAAATTATCATTATAAAATTGCTCAAAAATATTTTTTGAACAATTAAAAATCAATTCATACTAGTCCATAAAAAGGATTATGGACCATATTAATTATAACTTTGAAAGATATTATTTTTATGCAGGGTTATATACTTTAATTACAAATAGAAGTTGTTAATTTAAAATATACAAATTTTAAAACAACTTCTCAGTTGTTATTATAAAAATTGTGAAATTGTATGTATGAAATTGTCTTCTAATTATTGTTTTCATGAAATGCCAATTACTACTCATCTCTTTTTCATCTTTCAAAGCATCTCTTAGTTGTTATCATCACCATGGTATTAGTCTTTGCTTTTTGCTGTGGTGTTTAATATTTTTATTATTTTTTTATTTTTTAATAATTCACCTCCTCAAGGCTGAGAAGACCACTGCAGTCAAGGAGGCTACTTATTTGTGGTTATAACCCTCTCTCAACTCTATAACTCAGAAACGCGAACCTTGATGAACAAGGTCGCTGTGCAGAGAAACGAGTTGAGCGGGGTACTACCAGGGACGTGATGGGGATCGAACTCGGAACCTCTCGCTTATGAAGTGAACGCTCAACCACTACACCACTACCGCATCAATATATAATATTAGGCCAATCAAATTTTTATTGCTGAATATAATCTTTATCGTTGTAAAAATTTCACTCTTATTGGAATATTGCAGTCATATAGCCATATCTTAGCAAGTTGTTATTTGGAAGTTTTGTTTGAAGTTTTTTTTATGTAATTTCTTCAACAATAAGCAAAGCAACTAAAAGTCCAATCTTGGAATATTTTGATATTAATGAAAATAATTGCTCAAAAGCAATTTGTAAATTTTGCAAAATGAAAATATAAGAGGAGGAACATCTAGCAAAAAAATGACAACATCCAATTTAAGAGGGCATACAAAAGCAAAACATATAAAAGATTAATACAACACAATATTGCATAATTTTAGAGGCTTTATATTTATTGCTTAGTTGTTCTAAATAATAAGTAAATTTAGTTATTATTTCAATATTTACAGTTGCAAAATAATAAAAAAAAGATGTTTAATGTTAAATTTTTTGTTTAATTATTTTTTTACCTACTTTTTTTGTAAATAAATTTTAGTACCCCCTTCATTGAAATTATTTGTTTCAAATATATTTCGACATGATTATTTAAACTAAGTTTTTTTGTTTGAGCTCCCAAACTTCATGCAAAGCAAATTCAAATGAAATAGTGTCTAACCAAATAAAAATGCTGTGACTAATTTTATACGGGTCATTAATATAAAACAATTTTTTATCAGAATCTTGATTGAGATAAAAAATACTCATCATTTATTAACATTAAATATAGGGTTATAATAATTTTTAGCAACAAACCAGCATAAAATATTTGCGGTTTTTATTATCTTTTTAAATATTAAAATTAGAAAATAAATAACTAAACAAATAATGAAAAAATTTATAAATAAAAATAAATTAGTTCCAGAGTTTTATTTGTCAAAAGTCTGCCATGACGTCAAATATTAAAACTTTTATGAATTAAATGCGCTTAAAAGGAATCGCAGAAGTTTGTAGATTGCAACATATAATTTAAAGACTCAGATTTTTAGTAAAGTAGAAAAGGCAAGCTTTAAATAAAACAACAAGATTAGTTTTTCTCAGTATGCAATCATTACTTATTTTTAATCAAAAAAACTTGGTTCAAACCTTTTTTTTTCAATATTATCTTTAATATGAGTACAACATGTGTTGGGAGTTGGAATAACTGTGGTTTGGTGGAGGATATGATGGCAGCATATTTCATGACCTGATAACACATCATATACACCTGACATTAGTAACTTTCTGATAATCGCACACTTTGATGAGTTTTTGGAGGATATTACCAACAGTATGAAACAAAAAAGAGATCGTT